CAAAGATGTAAGAGGGAATATGAGTTTAAATCACTTTCACAATAGCTTCTCTGACCCAGAGCTACAGCTTGATTCTTACAAATGGACAACACAAGTCAGCGCCCAAAGATTAGGCAACCAAGCAGATAAAAATATCGTGATTTATTGCTGCAAATTCTTAGACTATGTTTCATTTATTCACTAATTACACACAGTGAACCTGGGGTTTGTCAGGGTTATTTGACAGTTTTGCCTGGTTGTTATTGCAGCTCTAACGTGTAGCACCAGATGGATTTTCACAAGAACCATATGAGAAGCCGACATTGGAATGGTTTTGAAGGGGGAAAAAAATACTAACCGATGATGGGAAGAACTATCTGTCAATCAAACTATTGCCAAAGTCCCTCTGGATTAGAGTCAAGTCCTCTTCTCATTGAGAAAAGCCTTCAGCGTTGTTCTTTGCCTTTTCTTTTATTGAAGCATCAAGGCTAACCTCTTCAGGAGCCACTGTTGTTGTTTTGAATGTGCCTCTCTCATCTATGGCTGTTTACAGCGTCTGGTTTAGGGTTCTCCTAGCGTTGGACAATATAAATGCTCTGCTTTGAGTGCTAGTCAGCTGTCGAGACCCTATCCCTGTCTACCAGGTACAAATGGAGCATACCCAGTCTACTGTACGTTGAGCTGTTCATCTCTCAGTAACACTGGACCTGTCGGCTTGTGTTTTATAATAGAGTTTTAATATGACATAAAGCTGGGGGAGTTAGAGGTTTTAGCAGAGCTGGCTCCACTTAGCCCTGTAAGGGGGTGGGGGCTAAGAGGGGCCTGTGGTGCCTGTGGGCTGGCTTTTAGACCAACTGCTGGACGACAGGTTATGAAAGGAAGCCTCCTACTGGTTAAAAAGTATATTGGAGGCATCACTTCAGGCACAGAAACTTTATTTGAAGCAGTTTTTTCTGAGGCTTTGTGTTGGGTGGAGTTGACCACATCAAAACATTTCCCTTTGATTGCCTCACATTTCTGGTCAGTTTTCGTCACTTCATGCCTTTAAAATCTGAAGAAGGCCTCTATACCAAGCTGCAAACTAAGTTAAATATCTCAAAAAGTGTAGAAAATATCCAAAGGAAGAATACGTTTCATAGCTGAATGTCTTGTGACCGTTTTAAAGTTGGAATGAAGTCTGTAGCTGAAAATATGTGGAAGGAGTAGCATTTGGCGCAAGGTGTAGGTAAAAGAGGATTTGAAGGTTCCTCCCATTGAGTTACATGTTAAAAAAAGAGTTAAAAAAGCTGAATATTTAAAAAAGTGTAACATATTTTGAAAAAGTTGAAAGTTTCCCATCATGTGTTGAAAAGCCTGAATATTTTTGATATTTCAATGGTTTCTGTAGCTGAAAGTAGACTGAAGTTATTCGACGGCAAAATATTGGTTGAAATAATAATAATAAGAAGAAGATGATTAAAGATTTGAAAAACTATAGTGGAATGCTGTTGCACACGACTGAGCAGTTTTTAACTTTATTTGTAATTAGTACTGTGTGGGGGGAGCTGTGGTTAAGGATTATATCCTGTAATGATGCATTCTTCATCTTTCATTACTTTAGACCAGAGGATTTAAAGTTATGAGTGGAAGGAGGCCGTTGAGTCAGAGAAGGCAAAGAGGCTGCATGAGGTGAAAGGGACAGGTCACACAGGTGTTCTCAGAGCAATAGGAGGTAGGTTGATGTAGTTTGTCCCACTGATATATCAAGCCATTTCAACACCATCAGCAGTTTCAGCAGCAGCGGGCGTGACACACAGCTTATGGAAATGACTCATGTGGAACCAGATTGTTGCAATGTGTGTCAGAAATTGCACTACTTCTGTCATAACTCAATCACATGTGAAAACCCAGACATGATACACATAATTTTCAATTCATCATGACTCTCACACTTCTTGAGGATACCAATATATTCAATATGTCCATTAAAGAGGCCCTGAAATGCCTCCATTGGACTCCTTGGTTGACTTCCATAACATAATGACTTCACTATGTAACACTGTGCTATATTTGCTAGCGCTCTAACACATTGTATGTGACTAAGGAGCAGGACATTTCCGACACAATTCTAAGAGATTGACCAATCCCAAAAGAGCCGGCCAGCTAACCAATCAGAGCAGACTGGGCTCTGGTTTCAGACAGAGGGTGAAAAGAGGTGCTGCAGCACAGGCAGTATGAGAAAAATAAAGAGCTTTTTGAACATTAAAGCATGGAGACATGTCCCAGTAGAGACACTACATACTGATATACACCTGAACATCAGCAGGAGAGGACTCTTTAAAGTAGAGACACTACATACTGATATACACCTGAACATCAGCAGGAGAGGACTCTTTAAAGTAGAGACACTACATACTGATATACACCTGAACATCAGCAGGAGAGGACTCTTTAAAGTAGAGACACTACATACTGATATACACCTGAACATCAGCAGGAGAGGACTCTTTAAAGTAGAGACACTACATACTGATATACACCTGAACATCAGCAGGAGAGGACTCTTTAAAGTAGAGACACTACATACTGATATACACCTGAACATCAGCAGGAGAGGACTCTTTAAAGTAGAGACACTACATACTGATATACACCTGAACATCAGCAGGAGAGGACTCTTTAAAGTAGAAACACTACATACTGATATACACCTGAACATCAGCAGGAGAGGACTCTTTAAAGTAGAGACACTACATACAGATATACACCTGGACATCAGCAGGAGAGGACTCTTTAAAGTAGAGACACTACATACTGATATACACCTGAACATCAGCAGGAGAGGACTCTTTAAAGTAGAGACACTACATACTGATATACACCTGAACATCAGCAGGAGAGGACTCTTTAAAGTAGAGACACTACATACTGATATACACCTGAACATCAGCAGGAGAGGACTCTTTAAAGTAGAAACACTACATACTGATATACACCTGAACATCAGCAGGAGAGGACTCTTTAAAGTAGAGACACTACATACTGATATACACCTGAACATCAGCAGGAGAGGACTCTTTAAAGTAGAGACACTACATACTGATATACACCTGAACATCAGCAGGAGAGGACTCTTTAAAGTAGAGACACTACATACTGATATACACCTGAACATCAGCAGGAGAGGACTCTTTAAAGTAGAGACACTACATACTGATATACACCTGAACATCAGCAGGAGAGGACTCTTTAAAGTAGAGACACTACATACTGATATACACCTGAACATCAGCAGGAGAGGACTCTTTAAAGTAGAGACACTACATACTGATATACACCTGAACATCAGCAGGAGAGGACTCTTTAAAGTAGAGACACTACATACTGATATACACCTGAACATCAGCAGGGGAGGACTCTTTAAAGTAGAGACACTACATACTGATATACACCTGAACATCAGCAGGAGAGGACTCTTTAAAGTAGAGACACTACATACTGATATACACCTGAACATCAGCAGGAGAGGACTCTTTAAAGTAGAGACACTACATACTGATATACACCTGAACATCAGCAGGAGAGGACTCTTTAAAGTAGAGACACTACATACTGATATACACCTGGACATCAGCAGGAGAGGACTCTTTAAAGTAGAGACACTACATACTGATATACACCTGAACATCAGCAGGAGAGGACTCTTTAAAGTAGAGACACTACATACTGATATACACCTGAACATCAGCAGGAGAGGACTCTTTAAAGTAGAGACACTACATACTGATATACACCTGAACATCAGCAGGAGAGGACTCTTTAAAGTAGAGACACTACATACTGATATACACCTGAACATCAGCAGGAGAGGACTCTTTAAAGTAGAGACACTACATACTGATATACACCTGAACATCAGCAGGAGAGGACTCTTTAAAGTAGAGACACTACATACTGATATGAACCTGAAAATGTGCAGACTATGTCCTTTTTAAAAAGGAACATCCATAAATCCTTTTAGAAGTCATTAGGGCTGCTCAATTAATCGTATTTTAATCGCAATTACGATTATGGCTTGCAACGATTACGAAAACAACGTAATCTAAATAAAACGATTATCTTTTTATTATTATTACTTTTATTTTTTTTCTTTCAAATACATTTCTTTTTTTATTGGTTTTTCAGTTGAATTATACTTAAAGTTCAGGGTAATCAACTGTTTTTTTTCTCCAATAAATTGATGTTTTCAAAGTAAATGGATAATCGTTTTTAATAATCGTGATATCAATTATTGACCAAAATAATCGAGATTATGATTTTTGCCATAATCGAGCAGCCCTAGAAGTCATAGAAATAACTCTATTCAACGTTTGTATGAATAGTCATGTTTTAAGGTTTTTTTCAGTAAACATTAAGGACACAAGACCAACTGAAAAGTCTAATAGCTAAGTCGGCATACTTTTTATTGTGTCCAAAGCTAACTAACTGACTAACTATACTTCATGTTCATCGTCTCCTTATTTTCTACATCCGACCACAGGAGTGTTTTGATATCCTTTGTGTGGATGTAAAACAAATGTAATATCTGTGTCAGCAGTATTATAATCCTCAAATAGTTGTGGTCTAAAAATGACGACACAATCCTACACTGTCAGTAGATTTCCTTTCAACTGTTCACGCTGTTGAATAATGAGTTCTATAACATGTATTTGTAAGACTCTCCTTGTCCCTGTCAGCCTGAGAATAGCCCGTCATGATACAGGAGGTTCGATCTTTGAAGCCTTCCTTCCCAGACTGAATTGTCCGTTTCCCAGTGGAAGTTGATATGGGTCATTTTTGACAATGCTTTGTTTCCATGTTTCCTGCCTGTAGTAAAGGAGGTCCACGCACACGGTAACCAGCCCTCCGTCCCCCACTCTCTGTTCCTTGCTTCCTAGTTGATCTTTTAGCATTGCTGTCGGTTTCGTTTACAGCTGTTCCCCCTCCTCTTCTCCTTCTTATGTTTCCTCATCAGTCAAGCCTCTCATTCTGTCTCCCTCCAGCTGATTGACACGTTTGCGTCTGAGATCGGGGAGCTGAAGCGAGAGATGGTGCAGACCCCTCTAACATTTGACAAAGAGCCTATGGATTTACAGGGGTAAGAATGTTTGACTTATCTTTTATCGAACTGACAGCGGCCGGAAGTTTTGATCCGTCCGTCACATTCTCAGGAATGGGATAATTAAGGAATGCTTGGAGAAAATGGCACAAACATCCGCATTAACTGATTACATGTATGATGATCAAAGGTCAAGATCACTGTGACCTCACAAAACATGTTTTCTCTTTCTAAGAATGTATGATCATAAACAGGCTTTGGGATTAACGGATTACATGTAATGGGATTACGCAATCAAGATACAGGAATGTGTAACTGTGTTTCCTTACAGTTACATTTAAGAAATATATATAATCAAAGTACTGGTACATCTTTTTTAAACGGGGATAATTAGAATGTTACAATAAATGTTAAATATATACATGTACATTTACCTATAATATATATATATTTTGGTTTTCATTTTGGCTACTTTAATTATTTGTATCTTTTAGTGTAAAATAAAGCAATTGGACCTGATTTATGAGACTAAATACGGTTTGCTTTTAATTCATGTATTAAACTTAAACAGCAGTTGTCTTTGGACAGTATTTATTTTCACCAGCAGATGGCAAAAGTGTTTCATTGTATCTTCTTCTTCTTCTTCTTCTTCTTCTTCTTCTTCTTCTTCTTCTTCTTCTTCTTCTCCTCTCTGCCAGGCTGGAGGCTGAAGTGTGCGGTGTTTACCTGCAGTCCCCCAGCTGTGCTGGTCTGGGGGGTGAAAGGGATTCTGGGTACGACTCGCTGCGCAGGAGGATGAGCGTGTTGGAGCGACTGACTCAGACCCACCCGGTGTGGCTGCTGCTGGCCGTCAGTGAGGAGGAGGCCACTCGCATTCTGCTCACACAGCCCCCGGGGGTGAGGGGCCACCATGCTGACAGACACATCTTTTAAGATTGTATTATATTTCATGATGTCCTAACCCCAACCCTTCATGGTTCAGGTGTTCCTGGTGAGGAAGTCGGCAGCTTTACAGAGGAAGATTCTGTCTGTGCGTCTGAAGGAGGATCAGAGCGGAACTCCCATCAGCCACCTCCCTGTCAGAGAGAGCCAGTACAGTAAGCGACAAGTGTATTACCTTTCTTATTATCATTTTTCACAGTATTTACGACAAACATAAGTAATCCTTACACGGAAAAAACAAGGCAACAAGGAGGAAAGATAAAGAAAGTATATTGTACTATTGGCCAAGCTGGTGTAAAGGAATCAGCTCTAGTTGCTCTGCAGGAGAGGAGAAAAAGGTTTTATTAAAAGGGATTATATTATAATGTAGGGTTGAGGAGAGCTGGTCCATGTTTGATCTGTTGGAGTCAATGGATAATTCATAATTGTGTTCTGTCTTTCCAGATATTAAAATCGTTTTTTAGTTGCTACAGTTATTACAATGGAAGTTTGGAGATGTTGTGTGGTTGTGAGAGAGGAGAGATTGCCTAAAGAGCGATGGAGGGGAGAGGGGGATGCCTGAGCTGAGGATCTATGACAGCACTCTGACAAGATTGTTACCTGTACTTTGAGCACCATTTAGGAGGTGTTATCTACATAATGATATTTGGATACTGTCAAATGTATTTAACATCACAAATCCCAACCAATCCAGGGACCCATCGGCTTACCTTCTGATGACAATAAGTCTCTCAGGGCTCCAGCAAATATTTCTGGGGTTCCAGTTTTGCTAGCAGAACGCTTCCTTTACAGACCAATTAACAACTTGAGACGCAAGAATGGAGTTGGAGTTTCCCAGTTTGCAGCATCATTTTTGTCAATCAGACAACAGCTGATGGTTTCAGAACTTGCATTTTGTCCAATGCATTCCGGCTATTTTGCTCTCCACATTTACTGTTTAGCTGCAGACAACCAAAGCCAACTCAAACGTGATTGGTCAATACTTCTTGGACTACAAACAATCTCTTTCAACATCAAAATCTTGTCCCGTTGTATACAGATCATGTATTTATCTATAGAGATATGTTTTTAGAGACTAATCCCCAACTCACTTTCAGATTGTCTCTTCCATTTTGGTTTAGTCTATGCTATTTGCTGCTCAGTCCAAACACAGATTGTTCAATTGGAAATAGTTTAATTATCCCAGCTTTTTTTGAAAAGGTGAATTCAAATTGACTCAAATCAGTTCCTTAATTGTGTTCTTTCGATTTCCTTTGTTCCGCTGATTATGTCTCACTCAACCACAGACACCTCTGTAGTCATACTGTACTCGAGGTTTGAGAGTTAATGATGTCATTTCCTGTACGTTAATAAGAAATAAAACCACATGACCAGAGTGAAGCCAGTTTGGACTGATTGTGCGTGCGTGCGTGCGTGCGTGCGTGCGTGCGTGCGTGCGTGCGTGCGTGTGTTTATACTTGCACTTAAAAAATGACAATAAATTCCATACAGTATGAGTAAAAAACATGATAGTGTCTAACATTAGTGATCTCATTACACACAAACAAAGATTGTCCTCATATTTGTACCTGTGCTTTGACAATATTTAGACCAACATTGAGCTTTGCAGTAGTACCTCGGATTAGTCCTGGAGCTGTGACAGAGCCAGAGTGTGACCACACACCAGCTGTGGATGTTTCCTGCTGAAATGACAGCACACATGGGAGGAGGTGGGATGGGGGGGGGGGGGCGGGTGTGTCTTTGGCCTGCGTTGACCTTCAGATGTGGGTCAGCTGCTCTCCAGTTTAGTCTGACCAACTGCTTTGCTAAGTTTTTCTTGTGCACAAAATGCTTCTTTGGGAAATACATTTTTTATTTCTCATTGATCATCCAGCATACTTTCTTGAAATAGTGGCTAAATATTCAATGTGAAAGAGTAAATGCCACATAATCAACAACGTCTTTCTATTAAATACAAGTGCGCATATTTTGTTTCTTCCAGCCTTTTCTCTGGAGGAATCTGGGATCAGCTTTGCGGATCTGTTTCGCCTCGTGGCTTTCTACTGTATAAGCAGGTAAAACACCAGAACATGGTTCTTTTTTCTATCTCTCCGTTTATTTGTCTGTGATAGGAGGGTGATTCAAGTATGAAGGTATATCACGAACATTTTTGTGAAAAAAAGAAGAAGTACAAAGCAAGGGGATTGTACATTTGTTAAAGAGTAAACTTCATTTTCTATGAGATCATATCGGTTAATTAAAAAGAAAAATTCAACATTTAACCAGAAAAAAATAACTAAGGGTTAAAAAGTTATACATTTGCAAAAATAAATATAAAACCCTATCACTAGGATGTACCTTATCACCCTGCAGAATGTAAAAAGGAAAAACCGCAAGCACAGTAATTGGGGGGGTGCAACATAATGAAACATGGAGATATTCTTTCTCTGTGCGCTGCGTTGTAACTCCTGATGCCAAAAGCTAATATCTGGTTCATGTTGTTTTCTTCTGAATAGGCCCAACTCACAGCAGTCTGTGCTTTAATCACCAGTATTTCCTTATTCCAAAATCAGCCCTTAAATTACAATATATTTGGTCATCAACTGCAGGCATAATACACACCATCTGTGAGTCAATTTGGTTTTTTAACTTATTCATTTATGACTTTATTCTCAGAGAATATTCAAGTTTCTTTCTTCGTAAATGTGTGATTTTTATTTCTCGTGAATATACAACGTTAGGGGAGGCGTGTGGTGCAGTGGGTTAGTGCGTTGGTGTTCGGATTAGGGGGGCACAGGTTCAAACCCCACTGCAGTCAGCATGTCGTTGTGTCCCTGAGACACTTCACCCCAAATTGCTCCTGTGGGGATTGTCCACAGTATTGAGTATGTAAGTCGCTTTGGATAAAAGCGTCTAACAAGTAACATGTAATGTAGTCTAATTTTGGATTTAAATCTGAGTTTCTCTCATGGAAAATGTGCCCCCTTCCACTGCTTTCGTTTTTATTACAATGTCCCAAAAACACCTTCAGATTTAAAGATGGAAACTACTTGGATAAAAATAGCGTTTGCAGAGTAAGTAAGCACTCAGAGGCTCACTTCTTGTTTAAGCTTGTGTGCCGGCTCAGGAGACACAGACACGTACACAGGACTAAAGGAGGTACATTTTTCCGCATGCTATAAGCACCACGACACTGGATTCAACTCGAGAGGTGACTGCAAAACAATGCAGATTTCATTTTGTATAGCTACATTTAGACTTCCATTCTCAATTCTAAGCTTTATTCTATGGCTGTGAAAGTCAAAACAAAGGTTGTGTCAGCATGTTTTACACTAGTGATAATTGATAGTGTTTTCACTTCTCTGTGTGCCAGTGGTAGCATCATCACTTTGGGTTTATTGCTGTCAAATGAGGACAATGCCCACTAACGCTGACCATTAAACAGGGTGGATGTCACAGTTACAATAACAACATTATGTTTCATAACTCTCACTACTAATGTTTAGATCCTTTGTTTGATTGTATCCTTCCTTTTGAACAAAGGCTTTAGTTAGAGCTGGTTTCAGATGATTCCCTATGTTCGTCCTCCTGGTTCCTACCTTTTATGGTATTTGATTTTATTGTCTTATTGCATTTTTTTGTATCTTAATTCATTTTCTTTCTATTTGTATTTTACACTCTATCTTGTCTTTTCATTATTTTACTGTCATTTTATTGTTTACAATGTTGTTGTTTGTTTCTGTAAAGCCCACTGAGACAAACGTGTTTTGTGATATTACACTAGATTCAAGATTCAAGGATTCATGTCTTTTATTGTCATGCGTACATAGCTACAGTGTAGTTATGTCGATGAAAACCTTAGGTCCCAGGCTCCTCCAACAGTGCAACACAATAAAACAGATACAATAGTGCAAGTAAATACAATCAAATAGAATAGAAGTAGTGCCAGAGTCTATATACAAGTGATACATCATTTGTAAGTTACAAACAGGTGAATGTTATGGATGTTCTTAGTTCAGGTGTTTAACAGTCTTATGGCCTGTGGAATAAGACTATATAAATAAACGTTGATTTGATTTGATTGAATGTTTATTTTCTATAACATTATTGCCTGTTCATCTTCACTTAGGGATGTCCTGCCTTTCACACTCAAACTCCCAGAGGCCATTGCATCGGCCAAGACTCAGAAAGAGCTGGAGGAGGCGGCTCAGCTCGGAGCAGGTACACTCTTTATTCATGTATTCTTTGAAGTTCTGCAGTAACACACATCTGAAATGACTATACTGCTGTTGTTGCACGTTTGTATAATGAATCACCTATTTGATTGAACATATTTTTGAGATATTTCTCACCATTTGTTTCATTAATAACCCATCTGTAGAATACTGCAGGGACTTGGCGCGTTTCCACTACAGCGCGGAGCACGGTTTAAGAGGGCTGTGACGTCAGCGGCCCGTCTTTGGTTGCGTTTCCACTTGGCCTAGTACCGGCCGGCGGGTCCTAATTCACAGTTTTTCTGGCCTCATAAAATCGCGGGTCTAGGGCCAGAGACAACGAGGCTGAGTCGGGCTGAGTATGCTAAACTAGAGAGAGCATCGCTGGCAAGGGGGCTACAACTACAACAAGATGGACATATTTGACCGTGATTTAATTGTAATACACGTTTCAAAATGATGCCGAAGTAACAACATACTGATACCGGTTAGTAAAAACCATGAATTAATGCTTTGTCAAGTCTGCAGACAGACGGCAGGGGAAAAACCTTTTAAAATGCGTGTTTTCTAAATGAAGATTGGCTAAGCTAACGCAGTATATGCTCCGACCGTCCACACTCACAACAACGGCCTATACAGACATAAATAAAGCAGCGACTGTATTCACCATGACACAGGCAGTCTGTGGTGTGTACTTGTTTCACTTTTGTCTAGTTTCTGAACATATATGAGGAGCTGTGAGCTCTGAGTGCTAACAGCTAACGGCTGTGTTGTTTTTCTGGGGTTCTCATTGAAGATGACGTCACGGCTCCGCCTACACTGCGTTACTATAGATACTACCCCAGTTCCTAAACTGTAATGGAAATGCGCCATAAAGTGAGCCAGTCCTAACGAGGCCTAGCCATACCGAGCGAGGCCGAGCGAGGCCGTGTAGTGGAAATGCGCCAGTCTGTCTGAGAAAGGAAATCCATCATGATGAAAATGTTGTCCATGTTTTCTTTTACCATCATTTATGATAAGAACATTTTTAGATGAACAGTCTGAAAACACAACAATTGTCGAAATTAATCTATTTATTTGATATTCAATATGCATGTCTTTGACTCAATGTTGTGGCTAAAGCAAACAGGAAAAGCCCATTATTGAATGACCTGTTTGTAATACACTACATTATGCTAAATCTAGTGGTGCCTCTTGCCTGATAGGGCTCCACCTTTTATTACATGCACACAGTCATGTCAAGTAAGAAAGCAAACAAAGATAACACGCCAAGTGATTGTCTTCACAGGTTTTATTTATTGTTCTTTGCTGACCATTCAGATCAGATTCCTCCTTTAGACACTTCATCTGTCAAGTTATTCTCAGCTCAGCCACTGTGCATGTGAGTCAGCTTCCTACAGCAGGAGCCTACAGCATAGTTTAGTGCTTAGTGTGGGGGGGGGAAGGGAGTGGCCTGTCCAAACACACATCGCACCACATTCAGACAAGTATGAAAACACACAAGGCGTATGAAGTGTAGGAACATGTAAAAGCAGTAAACAGTTGTATAGCTACTGAAGAAAATGGCTTGTTATTTGTGCACACTGGCATTTCTGTGAATGGTAGCTGGTGTTGTTACGTTGGAAGTGGAGAGGGATAGACAGCTTGAGAGCCTCTTTTAGGGAAACTCCCCTTCTCCACTGGAAAGCTTCTATTTAAAGACAGAAAAGCGCTTTTATTATATGTTGTGAATCTGAGCACATGTGAAACACAAACACATGTTGCAAAAGGCTACTGTACCAAGACCTTTGTATATAACATTTGCATTGCAACTGATTTGCCTTTTCAGAGGGCATGGAGTGGAATATTATAATGAACCTATTTATAGCAGATATTCATGAAACAATTCATATACCCTGTTAATATAGTCTATTTGATATCATGTTTTAGCAGGGAGTTTTATGATCTGCTCCCATAGGTTTCTGTGCATGTAAATGGTCTGCAATGACTCAAATCCCAGAGTTCCCTCCAGAGGGAGTTTCTGGCTGTCACAGTTGAGTCACAAAGTACCGATATGAACCTGAACATGAGCAGTCCTCTTTGATAGCTAATAGGCTACCTTTTAATTATCTAAAGACTTCCTGCAGAGATGTTTTACATGAAATCCCTGTAGTTTGTCAAAGTGCACATTTGCCCCTGTTCCTGCTTGGCTTTTACTTGGAAACATCTGCAAGATGTTTTACTGACAGTAACAAAAAAGCAATAAAATACAAGTGATTGGAATTAGTGAATGAATTGTTTTCAGTAAACTATTATGATACAGCATATTATTTTGCTACCCTGCCTTTATTCATTTGAGTATTGGCTTTTATCTAATCATTTGTTGTCCTTTTTCAATCAAATATTATACATTTCATATATTTGATAGAACAAAACTCCTCTTTGTAAAGTCAGAGTACACTTTATTAAGGTCAGTCACTATTAAATGTGCTATTTACAGTTGGCCTCCCGCTGCAGTCTCTCTGCAGACAGACCCCAGAGTCAGGTGGTCCGTGCTCACACGGAGCAGCAGGAATACCACGGGCACATTTCAGTCTCCAGGCGAGGGGGTGTTAGAAGACATATGAAACTGTCGGACCCGGCTCCTTTATTGCCCGAGGAATGAGAGCAAGAGTAACGTCTCCATTTTGAACCTGCAGGAGCAGTCATCACTGGGCTTATTCTGCAACATGTGTTGAAGCAGCATGTTTTCTTTCAGATTGTGTTGTAAATACACATGTCAGGACTTAAAAGAGTCTTTTTTTCCAGTGGCTATTAAAGCTCAGTGAGTTAGCGTGACAACAGTCTTGGCTAAACAGCTGAAAACAATGGAATGATTCAATGGAACATCAAAATGGGAGTAAATGTCTTTCAATGTAATGGGACACTTGCACTGAATATAGAAAAAGAAGAAAGGCAGAAATAAGGATTTCTGACAGCAATAGTACTGTTACATCAGAAACGTGTCCCAGAGCAACAGGAAAGCAGCATGTAGAATTTAGAGAGAGGAGAACAGAGCAGGAAGGAGTGGAGGAACTGGAACTGCGTGCCGTGGTTGTGCCCTCCCACTCTGTCTTTAGAATGGGCGACTCCCTCTCTGGGTGTGTGCCGGCACCCAGTGAGTCGCAGCCAGGATACTGAACTCACAGCGCTCCGGACACCAGCTAAAGACAGGCAAAGAGAACACTTAGAAATACTTTTAGGAAACGTTTGAACTGCTGGGTGAGAGATAGTTGAGATTGCTGTCTTTGTTCTTCTTTCTTCTTGTCTTTGACTTGAAAACTCAAGGACATACCCTTTCTCTGAACCTTGAATTGAGGAGAGGTATGTGTGTAGCTTAAAGTTAGTTAATGTTTGCCTCTGAATGTGTGTGTGTGTGTGTGTGTGTGTGTGTGTGTGTGTGTGTGTGTGTGTGTGTGTGTGTGTGTGTGTGTGTGTGTGTGTGTGTGTGTGTGTGTGTGTGTGTGTGTGTGTTTATGTTACAGGCTTCTGGGACTCTGCCCTGTGCAGTCAACGCCGCACTTTCCCCCGTGCCTGCCGCCCTCTGAGCCGGACCCTCAGCCCCCAGCGGAGCAACAGGAACAGGGAGGGGGAGGAGTCTCAGCAGAGACACGCCGGGGCCCACTGCGACAGTGCCCCCCCTACCCTACGCTCCTGCGCCTCTCCACCCTCCTTTCGTCTGGAGAGAAGACACTCCAGCGGCCCCCTGTGCTTCGTCACCCCCCTGTTCCTCCAGACGCATCGCCGCCCCCTCCGCTGTGAGGACGATCCGCCGACACATGCCGTCAGGTCCGATGAAGACCTAGAGAATGAGGGGAAGTCCTTGAAGCTGAGCAGCAGCCCAGGTATCGAGCAGCACGCGGACAAGGTCAAACTGAACGGCAAATCCCGGACACCTCCCCCCCGCCCTCCTCCCCCCCGCTCCATGCCTCGCCGACGCCCTGCCCCCCCACCTCCTGGACCTCCAGCAGCTACCACCAGACCCAAGAGCATGCCAGTGGCTGTCACTGTGTCTCCAAGGCAACAACCGACTTCCACAAAGCGCCAAGCGCCGGCTCGGCCATCGATGGGGGGCAAACAGGGCAGCCCCTCCAAGACTGCCAGTCCACCGATCCTTGTGCCGTCAAACCCCCCCCCTCCAAGGCCTAAGAAGCCCGATCTGGAATCTCACCGCTGTCACATCGCCCTGGATGATGAGACCATCGCCAAAGCTCTGTCCCGTGCCAAGCTTCCACCCTGCCAGCCTACAGCAACTGATGCTCTGCTGGAGGGTAACGCCGGGAGTCCGTCCACTCCTAAGGAGCGGGGACGCCAGCGGCTCAGTGACATGAGCATGTCTACTTCCTCCTCTGACTCACTGGAATACTCACATTCTCCAGGATTCTCCCTGGGCCTCGCCCCTAGCCCGTCCCGACACCTGAATCACCAAAACACGGTGGAGGACAGCAGCGACGACGACGATGATGTGGACGAAGATGACGAGGACTACGGGGTCAGTTTGGAGACGGACCTAGAAATGCGCCACCGTCCGTCCTTCAAAGCGCGAAGGCGAAGGGTTGGTGTGAGTCTGGGCGGGGGGCCCTTCATCCTGCCCAGGGCGCTGAAGGGACGTTTCCGCAAGGTGAGCGGCATGCTGAGCTCCCTCATGACCCCGGAGAGACGGGCGGTGAAGAGGATCGCAGAGATGTCCCGGGACAAAAGCTCTTATTTTGGCTCCCTGGTCCAGGACTACATCAGCTTTGTTCAGGAGAACCGAGGCTGTCACACCTCAGGGACGGATTTTCTGCAGACTCTCAGGCAATTTATGACGCAAATGAAGGCTTACCTGCGCCAGAGCTCCGAACTGGACCCCCCTCTAGAGTCCCTCATACCTGAGGACCAGATCGGTAAGTCAACCAAAAATATTGACTATCTTCTAAACCATAGAGTTCAATATACAGTACTTATTGGAGTAACTGGTTGCATAGTGGATTTGTGAATTTATGAAACATCTGCTCATGCATGCGTGGGCACGTGTGTTTTTTTTAACTTATATCCCATTTCTGGCAGCACTCACTTCCCTTCAAGTTTTCCGTCTAGTACAACTTAAGTGGTAAAAACTCCTTGGTGTTGCTTCAGAAAAGGGTTTGAAGATGACCTCATTCGTTGACAGTGTTCAGTGAGTGTTTAGGCTTGCCATCGTCTTGGGAATCGAACATACTAGTAGAAGTTTTCCATATTAGCCCCATTACTGGTGTTGAGTTACAGAAATGCCAGTGTGCTCTGCCCCAAAGAGTTATTCTTGGCTCATGTTGGTGGGCATCAGCTCACATTGCTGTTGAGGCTCTTTTGAAATGCAGGCTCAATATAAACCTATATTTGATAATGTTAAGAACGATTTGTAGTTTGTTTGTGTTAAGACAACATTGAGAAAATAAATGAAACTCAGCTCCCTTATTGGCTATTGTGTCAAACAACTTTAACAAGCCACATCCATACACTATTAAGTCGTAGCCAACTTGTTTACATGCTCTATTGAGGTCATATTGACTGTAAAAATAAAATATTCAGGCAAAAGCAACTCCATCAGAGCGACATTTCATTCAAATCCTATTACTGTAGACTCGAGCATGAATATGTAAGTATGTCTTTGCACTCATCACACGTCCCTTGTTCATTGTAAACAATAACAGCAAAGCCTTGTTCAGAGACAGAGAACAGATCCATTCTAGTTGTGCTAACAGGGCACAGATATGCACATAAAGCCTCATGCTCACAAATGTCCTCTTTAGAGAGGTGAATAAAGAAACATTGTAAAAGGATTTCAAAAATAAAGTTTATTAGTTTTAGCTGAGCTTGAATTCAAGCCATTTTAGAGACAATATAATGGCATCACTTTTTATATTTATTATTTACATTATATTATATTATTTATGTAAAATTGACATATAATATATCTATTTAATTATTATATATATATTTCTTTCGATAATTATGTATATTATATTTATATTATTTACATTATTTTTGTACTATATATATATTTTTTTGTATTATTGTTTATATATATTATTATTATTATTATCATTATTTATCTTTTGTTATATTTATATACATTGTTTTAAATTTAAAAAATGAAAAAAAATACTATTAAAATAAAAATAAAAATGCTTACAGTTGTTTCACAATCAAAGCTATTCATGTTTCCCTGGAAAACAAAAGTGAGACCCACAGCAGCAAGCAGGCCTGACGTCATGCTACAATCCCACATCATATTTCTTTCAAAAAGGAGAAGTGCAGTGGAGCTGAAGTCCATGCTCCCAGAGTGTTTACAGAAAGAGCGATTACGTTATGGCTCACTTTGTGACCTCTTAGGAAGTCAATGTTTGTGTTCTTATTATAAGGGGTACTACAAATCCCAACCTTGAAGTATTTGCAGCGACGATAATACTTAACATTTCATGTTGTCAGGTCAGGTAAATGATTGTTTATTTTTACAAAGGGAGGGTCTACAACTTTCAACACGCCCTAATGTAGGGCTTTTGTTATGCTTTTGTCTACATAACTTTAGGGGTTTTTCTTACGTTTTTAGCGTATGTGCTTGCTGGTATTTGTGAATGTTTATCACAGACTCTCCCAAAGTTCATTCCAATCAAGGGAAGCCTTTGAACAGGCAAGATAAAGCTCAAGGGCAAACATTGCTCAATATACAAAGGATATGAGCCTTTCTGGAGGGTATCAGGATGTGTGTGTGTGTGTGTGTGTGTGTATACGTATTCGTACCGAAATTATTCGGTATGGGCCCTTCGGTTCGGTACCGAACGAATATATCGTTAAATGTGAAAAAATTGAGAACTTGAACAACCTTTTGGAAGTAATCTCAGGTGCTGCGTCGCAGCGTTCAGTGTAATTTGCTCACATTGGGTTCAACGCGTCATAGAGCAACCAAGTCATTTCATTGGACGAGAGGCATACTATGAGAGCTGGTCACAGGGATGCGTTCAAATTTAGTCAGTAATTTGAGGAAATGGCGAACGCAGATAAAGTTGAGCTCAAAAATCCTCCAGCATCATTGAAGTCTCCGGTTTGGGAACATTTTGGTTTAGCAGTTACGTACAAGGATGACGGACAAAGACAGGTGGACCGAACCAAAGCTGTTTGTCGGCATTGTTCAACTAACATTGGTTACGCGGCTGGCAATACATCAAACTTGCACACATATTTGAAAAGGCATCACCCGAACGTGAATATCACCGGTACCAAAATAAAAAAGACTGAAGTGCAAACCCAACTCCCACTAGCATTTAAGCCTCCACCACTCGCAAACAGTTCAGACCGAGCCAAAGCTATTACAAACGCCAAATATCCTTATGTTGCCATGTTAGCAAAGCGCTACCTGGCTGTATCTGCTACCTCTGTCCCTAGCGAGAGGGTGTTCTCCACAGCAGGAGACATTAGTGCCAGCAGATCTGCCCTTTTGGCAAGCAATGTGGACAAGTTCATCTTTCTTTAAAAAAACATGAAAATACAATGACAAGCAAGTCCTAATGTCAAGCTGGCTGCTTAGGGGAGTACTAGTGCAGTACAGTTCAAGTACAGATTATTTCAGATCATCGAAATGCTGCACCTTAATGTTTATTTTATTACATTTTGTATTTATTTGAGTGAATACATTATTCACAGTTTAATAATAATTGAAAACCCCCCAAAAAAGATGTTATGTTTTGTGATAATTTTTTCTGCTGTACCGAAAACGTACCGAACCGTGACCTAAAAACCGAGGTACGTACCGAACCGAAATGTTTGTGAACCGTTACACCCCTAGTGTGTGTGTGTGTGTGTGTGTGCGTGTGCGTGTGCGTGTGCGCGTGCGCGTGCGTGCGCGTGCGCGCGCGTGTGTGTTTGTGTGCCTACCTACTACAGTGTGTCCTCACTAGCCTCAGTTCCTCCCCACATGATCTGTGTGATGAACCCAGCCCCTGTAAACACCCCAGGGCTCCCCTTGTTCTTGACTTCAGATGTATTGGTCTGGGGGGGTGCTATGAAGAGCCAAACCCTCACCTCAGACGACCCCCTTCACTTGTCTCCCGGACACGGTGTGGAGGCTTGTTCTGTAGTGCAGCACATTCCCCTCTCTGACTCACCATACATTCAGACATTTCTCCACAAGAACAGAATTCTTGTATGTGCATGCTGGCTTGTTTACGCGGTTACAAAGCGTGCGCTTGGCTCTGTGGAACTCATTGCATACACGCTGCCTGGAGGCTGCCAGTGAACTAAAGGAAGCAATTGTGTAAATGCAAACAAGCTGTACATAGCTGAGGTAGGCAGAGAATTATTTGAAGCCTATGTATGTAGGTCCGAGGTACAGATGGAGCCATTGTAGCTTTTTGCAGCATGCTAGCTCAATGAATGTTGCTTATAAATAGGGTTGGATTTGTCAAGGTCAGACACTCTTCAACTCTTCAAAGAGATTGTACTAAACCTTCAGGTTGCTCAGCTTTACAGTAAATAGCAAATATGTAATGTATGAGGTGGAACCTGACGTGCCACACTTTGAGACTAGTCATTTATTTCCTTTGTTACTGAGAGCTGTTGAAAACCAGGAATTCGGAATTATTTAGATTTGTTTTGCTTCATTTTATCATTATGTGTTAAAACGTACAAATGTATTACTGATTAGATTACATTAGATATACTTTATTTATCCCAAATTGGGAAATAGTTTTGTGACAGCAGCAGAAAATTAATCACAAAAAGTATTACACATGAGTTACAAATAAAGTAAATATAATAAAATACAAATTAAAGGTAAACATAAACAGTAATATATGATATCAACAGTAGAAACGTTTTATATCAATATAGTATCTAAAGAATGCCAAATCTACCAAAAAAAGGGAAATCTATATACATATGATACTATATTATATAGTATCATATGTATATAGATTTCCCTTTTTTTGGTAGATTTGGCAACTCCGGGGGGACTTCGTTTGCGGCCTGCCAGTACATAGATATATATAAACACTAGATGACTCACCCGCGCTGCTGGCCAATGGAGACCAACGTTGCCACATGGCGGCCATCTTGCCACAGGCAGCTCGCTCATTCATAACATTATGTCTATGGTGCACTATTGAAATAACCGTAGATTGCTCAATTTTCAACCAATTTTCAAACGGTTTGGTTTGTTATAAACATCAAAGATGTAGTTATGATACTGCATACTTATAATTATAATCATGAACTTTTTTTTTTCAACATGTCTTGTTGTCTCCTGTATCATAGCCATGCTAATAACGTTTATAATAAACCAAACCGTTTGTAAATCAGTCAAGATTTCAGCGAGTTAAGAGTATTTCTGTGCAGAACACTCACCTTACAACAGCTGTAGCAGTAGTTGTTGACTGTGGCAAGATGGCCACTGGTGAGCTACGCTGGCGACTCCCCCTTGAGCCATCTTAGTGTTTATATATATCTATGTGCCAGTAAACCCAAAGCAGAAGAAGAAGAAGAAGTGACGTCAGCGGCTTCATTTGCCTAATAGAGAGGCGAAGTCCCTCCCTTTCCGGTGGACCTCCATGGGACCTTATTTCGGAAAGATTATGTATTGAAGTCAATGGCGAGAGAAAGATTATCTTTTGATCCCGTTTGAATTGTGCCACGAATTACACATATGATGTTTGTCAATTTAAAATATAATTTTGCAAGTAAAAAAAATAAAAATGTGTCGTAAAACTGTGAAGTAACACTTTTTTTTGTGTGAAACCGCTCAATGAACTACATCTCTGGTCTCGCACACGTCACCAACATCAAGACGGCCGTCACGTTGGCACATTTCACTTCTTTCTTTCAGAATGAGGCGAAAAGTATTAAAAGAGGTGAAAATCACTCAAAGTCTGGGCATGTTGAGAGCTGTACATACACACAAGGGGAGTTAGTCGGTTCCTAAGAGCCAGCATGCGGGCCGGCTTTACAAGGTTTCGGTGAGTAACACGAGTGTAATGTGTAACGTTAATGACATCACTTACTCTGGGATTTGTAGTCTTTCTAGTTGCGTATTTTTCATAGTCTTATTTTTCAACAGTTTTACGACAAACTGTGACTTTTTTGACATGGAAATGATATTTTAAGATTGACAAACATCATATGTGTAATTCATGGCACAATTCAAACGGGATCGAAAGATAATCTTTCTCTCCCCATTGACTTCAATACATCATTTTTCCGAAATAAGGTCCCATGGGTCGGAAGTAGATAGGCGTGACTTCGCCTCTCTATCCTCCCCCAGGGACTTATTCCGGTGTGAACGCGATCTGTACTTAGTTCATGAGAACTAAAGAGTTCTCATGAACTAAGTTCTGATGAACCTTTGTGGGAAAAGTACTGCGGTGTGAAAGCGCCTATTGGTTAAGTTTGGTGTGGCCTTAGCTGACTTTGCAGAACATGTTGAATGTTTATTTTTTTGTAACGTTTCTGGATTAAATCAGAGTGCTTCTTTATATACAGTAATGGTAGAGTTTACAACACTTCTAGCATCTGGCAGAGCCATTTGACCTTTTTGTGGTTGATGTGTCTTGTTATCTTCAACAATGATTGACTTTGTATCTTCTACAGACCAGGTGCTAGAGAAGGCCATGCACAAGTGTGTCCTGAAGCCTCTGAAGAGTGTGATCGAGGTGGCTTTACATGACTTCCAGGTAAAAGATGGAATCATTTAATTTCACAATAACATCTCAACATCTTATTTTTTAAAGGGACGATTCATGTCAAAATCAAAAATACATATTGTTCCTTTTACTTGTTGTGCTATGTATAAATCTAGATTGTTTGATGTGAGTTGCTGAGTGTTGGAGATATCAGTTGTATAGATGTCTGCCTTCTCTCTAATATAATGTAACTGGCTATCAAAAAAAATACACTTCAAACAAAAAAATGCCTTGATCCAGAAATCATGACCTGGTTACTCGAGATAATCTACAGATTGGGAGCAGTTTCATGTACAAACCGAACTACATCCGCCAATAGGTTAGCACACGCCTCATTAGTCATGAGTCGATGCACGCTTCTGTCTCTGCAGTGATACTGTTGGCAGGTGTAGTTCAGCAATAAGAAAGTTGTTCCTGCATGAAATAGTCACATACGGTTTGAGAATTATCGTGTGTAACTAGGTCATGATTTCTTCAAAAGGACTTTGCTATGGAGTTTGAATGTTTTTCACATTTTATTTTGTTGGTGCTTTCGGCACCAGGATGAACTGTCTCTTTATGGGTGAACATAGACTCATCCTTACCTTCAAACCATTTTTTGAATTCAAAAGAAAAAGATATCCCCAAAAGAGGAGTTTTGAGACATTACATAGGAACCTTATTAGCGATCTGGCTTGGTTAGCTGGGTAAATTAACCACACTTTTAACACTCAACTTGTTATTTCCAGGTGAAAAGTGGAGCTTTGCAGCAGCTAAAGGAGAACCTGGCCCTGGCTAAGGCCAAGAGGCCCCAGGAGTTAGGGGTGGATGGAGCTGTGCCTCCTGACCCCTTGGCTATTGAGAAGATCCGTCACAAGTTCCTAAACATGAGGAAGATGTACTCCCCTGAGAAAAAGGTGTCATTGGTGCTGCGTGTGTGCAAACTCATCTACACCATAATGCAGGATAACTCAGGTATGGTGAAGATATATAGATTCTTATTTTGTATTCTTCATTCTTCATTCGACAGAAAGCCTAAGATTTACAGCGATGACCTTTGTCAGACCTGTATGACTGACCCCTACCCCCCCTTCTCCCTCACTGCTCTCCGTCTGCTTCCTTCCAGGGAGGATGTATGGTGCCGATGACTTCCTGCCCATGCTGACGTATGTGGTGGCTCAGTGTGACATGCCTCAGCTTGACACAGAGATCCAGTACATGATGGAGCTGCTGGACCCATCTCTGCTTCAAGGAGAGGGTAGGTGCTGAAGCCCGCTTCACATCACTCATCGATAGAACTGCTTGGTATATAACTCATAATGTACCATGAAAACAATGTCACTTAATTTTAGGCCAGAAATCACATAATTAAGAGGCCTTCACACCTCTTTTAACTATGCATTAAGTATGGAGCTGGGCATTTTAAGCTTAGCTTAGATTATCATAGAGACTAGAGGCAGTGGGAAACAGCTAGCCTTACTGATGATAAAGTTGAGAAACAAGACTACCACAATCTCTAAAGCTCACCAAATACCATGCAGAATCTTGTTTGTTTAACCTACATTGAATGCAATGTAAACATTATAATAGGCTATGAGATAAAGGCTTTATCTCTTTTTAGCATGTCCTATTTGCTAGTTTAGTGTATTGTTTGTAGCTATAGCTGCCCTGAAAACCACAACCTAACATTTTTACAAACACACAAGTGCTTGTTATATACCGTAGATCTTAAATAATGAGAACAATATCACATCGTTTGGCTTTTACACCTCTTTTAACTATGCACAAAGTATGGAGCTGGGTGCATTTAGCTTTAGCTTAGCTTAGCATAGAGACTGAAAGCAGCTGTTCGGCCGGCTCGGTAATGGAACCAGCTTACTAGGCAGCCGAGACCGCATATGGGCCGTCAGCTCCACTGAGCTGTCCGGCGGCCGTGAACTGAACATACATTAAAAGCAATGACATTGATGTTTTTAGCTCACTCTCAGAGGGACAGCTAATACGTTTATTTCCCAAAAGGTTGAACTACTACTTCTGAAACTGAAAGTAAGGTAGTGAAGTAAGAGAACAAAAAGGAAACACAGACACTCTCCCGAGACGCTTATTTAAAAATGGAGGTAATAAACCTTTCATAAATAGCATACCATCTGGAAGTGAGTAATATGATTTTCAGAAGATGTTTGTTGAATATTTCCTACATGAGGTCATGCAAATTACAGTATGGTGTGAGGTTAATGTTGTTTAACCCGAACAGAGGAAGTTCTTTCTAGGAGGAAACACTTAGCTGTGTCATCACAGCTCCAGACGAATGGATGGAAATAGATCATAAATAGATCAAGGGCAAGGGTCACGTATATGAACTATTCACAATGCTGTCATAGTATTAGGTTCTTGTAGTGATCAACTCTGAATAATGAATAAGTAGCTACAGACAACATTTTACCTGAAGCTTTACGGAATGTCCCCTGTTACTGGAGTAGCATGGTCAGCACCACCTTTAAGACATGTATTATATCACATTCTGCTGGAATAAAAACAAGAGTTTTCCTGTCGAAGATGAAGCAATTTCGAGACAAGTTTAATGTTCCTCAATTATTATTGTTTAGCATTCCAACACAGGTATTTCACCAGAGTGGTCTCAGCTGATTTGGGGAAGGTTTTGTGTGAGAGCTTGACAAACATAGGTGTAGCAAGGGAAGTCCTTTTGACATTGGTAGGAAATTCCACACGCTGTTTGATTTGAATAGGCTGGAGCAGGTTCAGAGGATAAAGGAGACTGACCCCTCCCAGAGTGAAATATTTTCCTACCAGCGTCAACCTCACTGGCACGTACACGTAAACTCATTGTAGAATGGCTTAAATGTATGTGTATCCTAGAGCCTCAGTTCAAACTGTGAAAGATGACTGATCCTGCACCGATTCATCTCTTATATAAAAGGAGGAAGTGTCCATTCCTTGATACATTTGACGAGATTCTACCTAGTGTTTGGTTTCATTTCTACATAACTAGCTCTGCATTGTTTCTTTTCTTACATCCCCATAACGCCCCTCATTTAGGTTTTGGATTGAGGAGGGCAGACATACATATGTAATAATAGACATGGATCATTTTATCTAACAGATACATTTTTTGTTACAGTATTATTGTAATATACTATTTACATAGCTATGATTTGATAATGGCCACCTTTGTTTGTAAATGAGTGACGTCAGGCTCCACCTGGGAGGGCTGAGCGAGAGTTGAACTAAGCTGCTTCTATGCGAGTGCTTTAAGGGGAAATATGTTTCGGACATTGTCAACTAAGTAGTAAAACTGAAGTTCACGGGAAGTTTACACCCCAATAGTAAGAAATCTCACAGCTGTCAGAACAAAAATATGAGATTTTGAAACAATCATTTATCATTTACATCAAAAAGTACATCTGCAACTATAAACCAAAGATTTTTCTCATCAAATGTAAACTGGTACACCTCCCCCTCCTCCCTCCTCCCTCCTCCCTCCTCCAGGGGGCTACTACCTGACCAGTGCGTACGGAGCCATGGCCCTCATCAAGAACTTCCAGGAGGAGCAGGCCGCCCGGGTGCTGAGCTCCGAGGCCAGGAACACGCTGCACCAGTGGCACAGGCGGCGCACCACCCCCCGCTCAGCGCCCACTGTGGACGACTTTCAGGTATCACGCCTGACCTGAACCCTCCATGAACATCCAGGCAGTGAGTCTAAGTAGTACCAATTCCAAATCAGTCCAAAGCTCACTCTCGGCATTGGGAAGGTGCATGAAAGGAGCTGTGTTCCGGCCCTGGACAGTGGAACGGATCATATCTACAGATTCTACTAACCTCACTGCATGTTGATCTGGATCCATTCATTTATTTGTGGTAGAAAGCACCCTCTAGTGGAACAATTAACAACTGCATCTGCTTTCTTTCTATGGCCATAACTGCATGGTGTTCTTCTGCCAGCGCTTGAGTCATCACTCATTTCTTGTTGTGTTTTTCCTGGAAATGTTTGTCTGCTAAAAGAAAACTTAACCCTCAAATAATCATCTGTATATGAAGTACTCACCCTATGTTTCGTTGATAGGTTACATTATACTTATATATATATATATATATATATATATATAAGTATATATATGAGATTATAATGTACAAGTGATATAACAGTTAGTCAAAGATCTTGTGATATAGTTTTGCTTTTCTGTAAAGTGGTGCAGCAATGCCAAATGTGTATAGGCCGTACTGGTTGTAGCATTGAAAGGGATCCCTTGACAAAAAGCAAAGGGATTTTTTTTATTAGATTTTGGAATATTGTAGAAATAAGGCCTTTTTTCCTGCTTACACATTTTGTTCAGCAGGGTAATCTCCACATATTAATGTACCAGACGAAAAAACTAGCTTTTGACATCACAATGTATCACATGCATCACCACTTCTAAGCTAAAGGCGGCTAATGTTCAGCGTGATGAGGTTTAGTAGTCCGCCATTTTTATGACACATAGAACTTCAAAAAAATGCTTCCAGTAGAATATTAACTGATGAAATAGAACAAGATCAGACAGACGAAAGAAACCGGAAGTGGTAAAATGATGACTAATTTCCAGCTTTTAGGACTCATTCCTGCACCACCCAATCAACTTCTAATCATCGAGACTTTTCTCCATTGTTTTATTTCTAAATATGTATTTCTTAATATGATTTTGGTTAGTCTGTTTTGAATAGTAGAGCCAACATTTGTTTTTTATAATAATTCAATTTCTCACAGTCTTCCTTTAACACATGCCTGTTGTTCTCTCTGTAGAACTATCTGCGTGTGGCCCTACAGGAAGTAGACACCGGCTGCACGGCCAAAACCCTGATGGTCCAGCCGTACACCACCACCGAGGAGGTCTGCTCACTCTGCGCCTACAAGTTCAAGATCCCGGACCCTGACGCCTACGCACTGTTCCTGGTCATTGAGGGCACCCGCCAGCAGCTCGCCCCGGACACACACCCTCAGCGAATCAAAGCAGAGCTCCACGGCCGGCCCTGTGCACACACCTTCCACTTTGTCTACAGGAGGATACCAAACCTTAACCTCTTTATCCCGGCCATCATGGACAATGGAAACTGTATACAAGTTGAATAGAGCAGGATAATGATCCTGAACTATTTGAGGACGTCTGAATGGAAACCAAGCTGTATGTCGCAGTCAACGTGTGGAAGTGATCTTGGGCAAGAAACTTAAAGGGGAACTATTATGCTTATTTAGGTTTGCACTTTTAGCCTTTAGCCACAAACCGGTATAACACACTACAGGAAAATCCCTGGGTTTCTCTCCCACACACTCTCCCCCCCCCCCATCACTATCTCAATCTCAATCTTTATTTATTTATATAGCACATTTAAAACAACCTTCAGTTGACCAAAGTGCTGTACAGGCAATAAATATTAAATAACACAATATTAACCTTAAAATTAGCATAATAGGGCCCCTTTGAATTTAAATTGCTCTCGATTACATGGCCAATGGTGTGTGAGTGTTTCTTTCTCTGAGCATGTGGCACCTTGTATGCCTCTGTATGAATGTTTGTGAATGAGTGAGTGCTGACTTGCATATATGAATGCAAACAGTCTGGATAAGCGCTATTTAAAGGCAGTCCATTTACCATTTGCCTTATTGATGCAGATATAAAATGTTAGATTTGATGTGAGGACTAGTGTAAGTGAGGACTATTGTAAGTTGGGAAGGTGGTACGCTGAGCTGAAATGATCACATTGTGTATAGAAGCTAGTTTGCAGGACTTTTTTGTATGTAAAGAATGAAACGGAGCTGGAGAGTTCTTAAGATTGTTGGACATGTGTGCCATCCTTAAAGTAAAGGTCATGTGACTAACGTTTGCTTACACTGCTGTTATCCCAGGTGCCTTCAAAAGGAATACTGCGTGCTACTGACAGCTGTCAGTGATCTGTCAGAGAGATGAAAAATCTTGCTAAAGTTAAGTTGATTTAATAAGTAAAATTAACTATTTTAAAGTTATGTTTATTCTCTACAATTGCTGGCCAATTGTAGCTTGTATTCTGTGTAGAAATATTTTTATATTCAAATGTGTCATCTTTAATCACTAAAGATTTGTATTCTGATTTCATATTACTGTACTGGATTCAATAGTGGACTAAGATCTATGCCAGTTATTTCTCAAGAGTCAATTCCCAACAACACTGTTTCTATCACTCAAACTGTGGGAATATATACAATTCTCTCTGAACGAAGCTACTTGCTGACTCCAACATTGATTTCTTTTTTTGTATCAGGAGATTTTGCTACATTCTTTTTGAGGGAAGATGTCATATGACCCTGACAGCACAGGAACAGCAGGGTTTTACTGGATCCACACAGCTAGTCCCACACATTTCAATCGACACACACATAATACACAGTTTAAAATGACATATGGCAGAACCTAATACAGGAGGGGCAGGGGAATATTTGGTGGAGTTGTTGTGGTTTGATGTATAAAGTCAAATGAACTCTTTGTCGTTGTGTTTGTTTCTTCTTTCTATTGGCCTACTTTAACTTTAGACATATAGCCAGGGGCCCATGCTAAGATAAAGCTAATGGTACTTCACCCTGATTGGTCAATGATCAGACACAGGTATATTATTGATATATGATAATGATGTAGAACTAAATCATAATTCTGTTTTATTTGATTTTAAATGCACACACATAAAAAATGTAATTGAATGTATTAATATATGATCATCATCATATCGTGATATGACGATCATATCGTGATATGACGATCATATCGTGATATGACGATCATATCTGTAATGGAAAACTTCTGGAGCAATGGAGTGGTAACACAATGGAACACGGGAGAGCTGGAACATGATGGCAAACACTGAAGAATTGATTGGAAGTTACGGCCGCAGAATTGACAAGACGTGTGCTGCAGCCACGAGGTGTCACAGCGGTTGCCAAACCAATTCTGAAGATCTCTTCCCCAGACCCATTTAAATAGCCCTGAGAGAATAATCAACATGCTGCATAACAAGATAACACAGGCAAAGCACAATAACACCTCATATCAGCTGACGCCAACAGGCAGGAACAGGGAGACAAAACACTGAGCACAGCACCCCAAGGTGCAGGCCTGTGCTCAGTGAGGGCAGAACAAACTGATAAACTGGGTCAAAGTTATGGGCCTAGGAAGATATTTCCTAAACAATATCTACATGATAATTCATTACAGTATGATATAGTGTGATTAATGCCAGAAACTTAATTCGAACACAAAAACATAGTAGTACAGAATTAATATGAACAAAATCAGATATTATGAAGTGATCTGACACTACAATCAAAACAATTTATATAATGGAGATCTGTTTTTATGGAACCTGTAAAATGAATTAAACTATGTTTCGCGCATGTTCTCAGTTGTAAGATAGGCTTCAGAAGCTAACTGAAAATCGTAAAAGATTATACCACTGCCTTCTGACTTAGGTTGAGAGAAATTCATTGAGATCTTCTTTGACAGTATAAATACATTATGTGTCACTACACGAGGGTTAGGGTTAGGGCTAACCCCACGAAAGCAGAGGTGGGAGAGTTACTTTAAAAATGTAATCTGTAATAATTAGTTACCTGTAAAAGGTAAGTATTACAATATAAAAGAAATGTGACCTGATTACGTTTAGATTACGTCAACATTAAACGCGAATGCAAATAAATACAAGAGGAAATAACACTTAAGGGATTGTGTAAGAACAATCTAACCTCAGAAAAAAAGAAACCAAGACATTTAGTATAAAAAATGTCCTCTGCTCAGAAATGTTATTTATAGGAAAAGCTGCCTTTGATGAAGCATATTCAGGCAGTAGCCAATACTGTACACCAAAAATGAAACACATGTGCACATACTACAGTTTAAAAAAGCAGAAATAAAATCTGAGCTGACAGAAAATGCTCCATTCTAGTTTAATACCTACAGTTATGCTCACAAACACTATTTATGATAATATAGGTTTCCCTACTGAATTAAAAACAGAACCAAAGAAAGTGAAAACCATAAAGCAGATTCAGGTAGTAGGCCTATAGGTTCACACTTAAAGTATTAGCCTACAGAACAGTACAGCTCATAGAGAATAAATAACTATATGTATATGCTATATGCTCTTTTTAGTTCTTTACTGACATTGTAATCATGCTAGTAAAATGTCTCGTTAAATGTAATTCATTACTCCCCAAGCTTGGTTGTCACTGTATACTTTTATGGTAGATTCATATCATTGTATGATGGTTGGCCTACACAACATTTGAACTCGTTTATCCTAGATGGTTTTCTTCCTGTCTGAATCTTGTTGGACAGCATGGGGTTTGGTTTGGCTCCAGTCGTGGACAGCCCTGACCTGCAGGGGGAAGCACAGAGAGCAGAGCTGCTGAGGTGGAATGGAAACACCCACCACCACTCCGCCTCAGATAACATGGTAGACACTGTGAAGTAAAATAAAGTTTGAAGTGAAGCTACAGAGCAGGAGTGTCTGTCTGCTATGCAAGTAGAAACTGGAGAGATGCTTTGAATAGTGACTTGGGTCAAGCGTATGTTGCAATTGTTGAGGAGTAGTAAGGCGAAAAAGGGACCTCGGTTTGCCGACCGACAATAAACGCCAAAGAAGAAGAATATTTCCGGAGCACCTATGGTAAGCACTGAGGTTTTAACGGTAACGTCACTTTATCCAAACTCACGCCGCTGCCCAGCTGATGGGGTTTTCGCCGACTCTCAGGAAGTGTAAGTGTAACTCTTACTTTTCTGTGCCTTTTTTCTCTAAAGTTATGCTAATGTTCATGTTGACGCCACCGCCTCGTGTTTGTTTCTGTACCGGAACTCGTTTGTTTCGGTAAATTTGACTTACGAGGTAGTCTGTTAATAAACGTAACGTAGCGGCTACAGTAGGCTACTACTACTACTACTACTACTACTACTACTACTACTACTACTTAAGCTAACTAGCGGGGTCAACCTTTACACTTTACATATATTTGATTTGAGAACGTCACTTCTGATGCTTGAGTATTTTGACCTGACAGTGCAGTTAATACCAGCTGTTTTCAGGAAAGGCGTACTTACTTTCGTTTACTTCAAATGAGGTTGTGCACGACACAGCAAGCAGGTATTGGAGTACCACAACAAATGAACGTTTTACTCTGATATTAAATTGTTTGTGCTAATAAGAAAATAAAAAGTTGATTAACAAGTGCTTTCAAACTAATTTAACCCTTCTCTTGCGTTAGGTCATACCCCCATCTCTGGAACCCCTTATCCAATTTTGATGGTTGACATCTCATTTGAACAGTCAAAGCAAGTATAATCAAGGGGTGACAGACATAATGACACCAGGGGTGAATTTCATGTTATCATTTTGCAGTAAGTTCAAAGATAGTGCTTACTCTACATTACTGTATATTATAAAAATGCTTGTGGCGGCTGGTGGAAAATATTTTAGGTGGGGCTGTGGAAATGGTGACCAAATAATACTAGGGGGGTACGGGGGATGCTCCCCCGGTAAAAAAAAATTGAGAAATGACCCCTTAAATTATGACTTCTGGTGATGTTAGAGAGGGGGGGGGGGGAAAGGACAAATTGAGACTTACAAATAAGAGAAGACTGATCAATACCTCCATAATCTTCAGTGTGGTTAGCTATGAATCTTCCAAAACTTCAAAACACCTTGTCCTGGACATAGTTTCTACAGTATAAACTGTGCAACAGTACAGTAGGCCCACACAAACTGCAGAACACCGGGGCTTTGGGAACACTCAAATGATTTAATTCCCATTTAACCTGTTAAGGGGCTTTTTTCCCCCCGTTTTTTTTCTCACGAAACTGTGTCTCAGGGCTTCTTAAAATGTAATAAACTATTCATGTGTCATACTCATTTAACGGGAAGAAACTCAGCTAACTGATGATATGAACCATTTTTACCGAAATAAAACACAAGTCTCACAAGAAGCTAACCTTTTGCTAAATGAGCCCTGAGCGAAAAAATGCTAACGCACTCTAGGTATAAATCGATCAATATAGTTATCGGATATGCACAAACAAGCTTATGCTAACAAGCTGAGATTCCACAGATTCTAGAAATATAAGTATCATCACTGAGCGATCAGAACTCGCGACAGGGGAAGCAAATACAGACATCACACGATGTAGCTTTAGGTAGCAAAACACAGAGATATGCTCACCTTTTGCTGTTATTCTGATCAAAAGTTGTGTTCAATGGCATTAAAACGAGAAAAACGCGGCTGAAGGTTAATCCATAGGTCAATCCAATGTGTCTGTCACTTTGAAAAAATTATTGATGATCCATAATTCAATTTATTTGTCAAAAACTGAGTTTTCATATTAGCTGCTAATGATAGCCTCCAGAGTGTATGACAGCTCCCTGTGTTGTCTCCTTGGATACGAGTCAAAACAACTCACAGACTGCCTTGGGCCGGGCGCTGAAATTGTAGCCCTTGGACCATCAGATCTGACGACGCTGATTGGCTGAAATTATGTTTCGGCGGCATAGTACTTTTCAGGTAGCAACAGTCAGCACTTGGTTGGCTGCTGCTGCACTTAGGGCTCTTTTCTTAGAGCCCAGACGAGAGAGGGTAATGAAACACGGGCAAAGATTTATGCGGCCAGGCAGGAAACACATGACTTTAGACATCGTAACACAATTTCAAACGAGATTTTATTGTAGATTATATATTTTTCTGATACCAACTATATAATATGTGCCTTGTTTATTAAAAATAAAAATGAAAATAAAAAATATATATTTAAAAAAATATATAATATTTTATTTTATTTGTAATGACAATCTAAAATGTGGGAAGAGGGGGGGCGGCCCCTATGGGCCGGCCGCCACTGCTTGCCATGTAGGCTGTGTTTACTGGAGATGGGAATGCTTTAGTTGGTGTTGTAGCTGAGATTCTTCCCATTCCGATGATGTATGGGATGTATTGATTTGATACAAGCAAGTCAGTGTTTCATTGTGTACTTTCAACTACAGTATATGGTCTGGACCCACCGGTGGGCCCATCAAGTTCAGCATTCACTGCATTCACTGTGATGAATATAAAATAAGACACTGATACTGTTTTCCTCAATGAACATTTAGAGAAAAATAAATATTCAGGGTCCTCTCCCTAAGGGGCCTCTTCCTCAGGGGCCTCTTCCTGGTCTGTTGACTGTTGGTCAGACTCATAGTCTGGATCGCTGTTGTCTTCCATTTCTGAGACATCGTCCTCTATGTCTGGTTCAATCTCCTCTTCATCTGGTTCAATCTCCTCTTCATCTGGTTCAAAACATTTGTCCAGAGCCTCTCTGACAGAAAATCGCCTAATCGGTCGCCTACTCATTGTGTCAATGAGTCAAATGTGAGCAAGGCACAAATATAACTGCATGAGAGACAGTAATGGAGGGGCATTTACTGCAAGAAAGTGAGAGGTTGTTCTTTCTCGAGGGGCACAGAGCTGGCCCCTGTGAGAAGATAAGACACTGTATCATACAGCGCGAGGTGTGTGTGTGTGTGTGTGTGTGTGTGTGTGTGTGTGTGGTGTGTGTGGTGTGTGTGTGTGTGTGTGTGTGTGTGTGTGTGTGTGTGTGTGTGTGTGTGTGTGTGTGTGTGGTGTGTGTGTGTGTGTGTGTGTGTGTGTGTGTGTGTGTGTGTGTGTGTGTGTGTGTGTGTGTGTGTGTGTGTGTGTGTGTGTGTGTGTAAAAAAAAAAAAAAAAAAATCAATGCAAGTGGTGATCATCAATTGTATGTGTTCATAGTATAGGCCTAGTGTGGAGTATAACATAAGGTATTGAGGCAATTGGATCAAAAACAAAGTCAATCGGTCACTTTTGACCCGAAACGCAAGAGAAGGGTTAATCAAAGTCTGCAGGGACTATTTCCAATGAGAAATGTTGTCAAAAAGATTCCTTTCAGTTTGGCTGAATAAGGAGTTTTGCACCGTGAAACACAACATTTATTACAATGGAAATAAAATATATCCCAAGTGGAAGAAGTACACATATCTTGTACTTAAAGGTGGGGTAGGTAATTTTGGAGAAACCAGCTCGAGTGCGCTAGAATTTGAAAATACACAGCTGGAAAAAATCTGCCACTTCCTTACAGAGCCCCTCCTCCAACACACACGAACGCGCACATGACCAATGAGGGCACGAGATAAGTTTGTGCACAGATGGAAGGCTGACAGGCAGGTGGGCCATCCAGTTATTTTAGCCGGGCCGGCTAAAAGGATTGGTCGTGCTTTTTACAGTATTACGGCTTCCACGGATGACATTTTTGTATGGATTTTTTGTCAAAGCACTTAAAATATTCATTGCTATCGGGATGTTAAGAGCATTCCATGGAATATAACAAAAAGTGTATCTCGAGCCGGTTTCTCAAACTTACCTACCCCACCTTTAAAGGGGACCTATCATGCAAAATGCACTTTTGTACGTCTTTTATACATGAATATGTGTCCCCGGTGTTCCAGGGAACTCACCAAGTGTCAGAAAACACAACCCTCTCTATTTTCCTCCATACCCAAATCTCTAAAAAAGGGGCTGCAACGGATCTGATAAAAACTGATCCAGATTTGAACACTGTCCTGACGTCAGGACGGTGGCGCTACGGCTATTGGGCCAACTCCACCAATCAGGAGGAGACAGCCACGGCCATTGCCGTTCAAAAGTGCTGGAGACGCTGTAGTACATATGCCAGGACAGTAGATGGTGCTGTTGTCACTGAATCTGCCCAGAGCTGGAAATTGTCAAATAGAGTGGCGAAGTCCCTCCCCTTCCGGTGGACCTCCATGGGACCTTATTTCGGAAAGATTATGTATTGAAGTCAATGGAGAGAGAAAGATTATCTTTCGATCCCGTTTGAATTGTGCCACGAATTACACATATGATGTTTGTCAATTTAAAAGATAATTTTGCAAGTCAAAAAAAAGAAAATGTGTCGTAAAACTGTGAAGTAACACATTTGTTTGTGTGAAACGCTCAATGAACTACATCTCCGGTCAACAACACACGTCACCAAGATGGCCGTCACTACTGTCTTGTCAACAAAACGATTGACTATCCTCACTATCACCACAATGAAACGCGTCCTGAAGAATGTCATGCAAAGCTGCCTGCCTGCCTTCCTTTGATTCTCTCTGAACTGCCTGGTCGTTTTAATGTTTAATGTCAACCATTTGTGCAGATAGCATGAAGTAGAGAAGATCGCCGATGCTAACGTTAGCGTTAGCATTTCTCCCCCGGGCTTAAATGGTGTATTATAGAATGATCACACCGGTGACAGTACTATTCAAAGGGTTCACGAAATATGACTACTACTCTTACTGTTTAACATTTTGGGTTACTTAATGTTACTTCATGTTAAGGCTAATAAAAATGACAAGGCTGTAATGCTAACTAACGTGCTAGCTACTAGCTAGGTAGCTAACTTGATCAAGCCACTCCTGGTCCTTTCATCAGACGGGAAGCAAAAGAACGAGCAAGACCCATTGCTGGTATAATAACAACCTGGTACTAAGCACACAGGCATCTTGTTAAAGTTATCTTATCTTATCTTAGCCAGCGCCATATAGATAGATTATATCTATATTGCGCTGATCTTAGGTATCTGAATGGTGGAGGAAAACAATTGTGACATCACTTACGCGACTCTGGGATTTGTAGTCTTTCTAGTTACGTATTTTTCATAGTCTTATATTTCAACAGTTTTACGACAAACTGTGACTTTTTTGACATGGAAATTATTTTTTAAGATTGACAAACATCATATGTGTAATTCGTGGCACAATTCAAACGGGATCGAAAGATACGTTTTCTCTCCCCATTGACTTCAATGCATAATTTTTCCGAAATAAGGTCCCATTACCCGGAAGTAGGTGGGCGTGACTTCGCCACTCTATAGAGCAAAATGAGGCATGGCTAAAATGCATGATCTGTTTGGTATTTTGAAGAAAAAAAAAGTATAAATATGCCTTATATAGGTATGGTCCTACACTATATTATTCAAATATAGCATGATAGGTCCACTTTAAGTAAAAGTACCAGAGTGTAGGAATACTCTGTTACAAGTTAAAGTCCTGCATTCAAAATGTTACTCAAGTAAAAGTACAAAAGTATTAGTATAAAAATATACTTAAAGTACAAAAAGTAAACATTACGTAAAAAACGTAATCATTCTGCAGATTGGTCAATTTCAGAATAACATATATGATATGTTTTGATTATAATTATTGATGCATTAAAGTGTAGTGGAGTAAAAGTACACCATTTACCTCTGTATTGTAGAAGTAGAAAGTAGTGGAAAATGGAGATACTCATAAAGTAAAGTACAAGTACCTCAAAATTGTACTTCAGTACAGTACTTGAGTGAATGTACTTTGCTTCTTTACACCACTGACTTTTGTTCACTAACATTCGGAAGCAAATGTACTTTTTAATCCACTAAATGTATGCAATAGTTATCTGATTTTGAAGGTTCACATTATTATAAGAAACATAAATCAACTAAAGGCTCATGATGTACTGAGTATGGATTGAGATACCTGGCTGTATAAGAAGTAACTCATGTTAGCTCCACCTTTACTATCTTCAAAATTATATGATATCAATGGATCACTTATTATAAATCAGTAATATTAAATAAATTATTCCGAAAATGACCATTTAAGGAGTTCAAGTATCTCGGGGTCTTGTTCTCGAGTGAGTGAACAATGGAGTGTGAGATGGGCCGGAGAATCGGAGCAGCGGGAGCGGTACTGCAGTCGCTTTACCGCACCGTTGTGACGAAAAGAGAGCTGAGCCAGAAGGCAAAGCTCTCTGTCTACCGGGCCATTTTCGTTCCTACCCTCACCTATGGTCATGAAGGATGGATCATGACCGAAAGAACGAGATCGCGGATACAAGCGGCCGAGATGGGTTTTCTCCGCAGGGTGGCTGGCGTCTCCCTTGGGGATAAGGTCAGAAGTTCAGTCATCCGGGAGGGACTCGGAGTTGAACCGCTCCTCCTTCATGTCGAAAGGAGCCAGTTGAGGTGGTTCGGGCACCTAGTAAGCATGCCACCTGGGCGCCTCCCTAGGGAGGTGTTCCAGGCACGTCCAGCTGGGAGGAGACCGAGGTGTACACCTAGGACCAGGGATCTCTTCGCTGGCCTGGGAGCGCCTTGGGATCCCCCAGTCAGAGCTGGTTGATGTGGCCAGGGAAAGGGAAGTGTGGGGCTCTCTGCTGGAACTGCTACCTCCGTGACCCGACCACGGATAAGCAGGAGAATATGGATGGATGGATGGATGGATGACCATTTAAGTACTTTTACTTATTATGCTAAAAGTATGGAAGTACCCCCCCATATGTAACACAGACGACCCTGAGCTGCACCAACAGGCTGTAAATCAGGTGGTCGAGTGGACTGATAGCAATGCTCTTGAGATCAACACCAAGAAAACTGAGGAAATCATTTTTGACTCACCATCTGACTCCCATAAAGTCCCCTGTCATCCATACAGATGAAATCAAGCAGGGAGTTTCATACAAATACTTGGGTGTAATGATTGGCCATCTGCTGTCATGGAAGGATCACATTGAATATCTGTGCAAAAGGACAAAACAAATAATTTATTTTCTCTGCCGCCTTAGGTCTTTTGGAGCGAGCAGAGAAATTCTTCTGTTCTTTACATCGTGATTGTGTCTGTTCTACAGTACTGCAATGCTACCTGGTACAAATGTTTGTCAACAGCTTTAAAATCAAAACTGCTCCATCTGTTAAAAATCTGCTCAAAGATTGTTGGTCCACCCTGTCAGAGACTCTATGACTCAGCCTATCATAACAACCTGAGAGGCTGTCCAACAACATCATCTCTGACCCAAAGCATGTTCTGAACAGAGAATATGAACTTCTACCATCTAATGGAGATTCAATGAAGTCAGACTGAAGCATCCTTTGTGTTCCGGTCAATCCTCACAGTAAATACAGAGCTGAATCCAGATCAAATGCACGCTGAAGGCTCTTTGAGCAGCTTTTCTCTCAGTGATTGTGCTGTTGTGTTAAATGTTTGTTTGTTTTTCATGTATTGTGTCTTGAGATGTTGATGTTACACATGGAGCTGCTGTGATGCAAGTCAAATTTCAGACTTGATCTGACCATTAAAGTAATATCGAATCGTATCTTATGGTACTTAAAATGTATTTTGGTGGTAATACTTTTGTACTTTTCTTAACTCACATTTTGAATGCCGGACTTGTTTTCTAACCGAGTATTTTTACACAGTGGTATTATTACTTTTACTTAGGTAAAAGTCCTGAGTAATTATTCCACGTCTGTTTTAAAGGATTTGTTTTTAACCTCAATTTCTTTTCATCTTTTCAGGAACCACTGCCTCTGTGATGGATCTTAAAAACTGTCTGAAAAACATCCTGAAGAACAAATTTCAGAAAGTGAAAGAAGCTGAAAACTCGTTACTTCCTTCAAGACTTTGCTATCGTGAGCTCAAGCAGGAACACGAACAATTTCATACTAATTTGTTACAGAATGAGTTTAGATTTATTGACAAGTCCGACCTTCACACTTGGGTTGTTTATCCAACCGTCCCGCTCTCGGAGATTTTATCGTGCGACTGCAAACACAACAGCAGCCAAAGAACGGTCCTCACTGTAGGCGTGTGTGGCGTTGGAAAAACCACAACAGTGCAGAGATGTGCTCTGGAGTGGGCCGAGGGCAAAGCGTGCCAGGACGTCCATCTCCTGTTTCCTCTCACCTTCTGGGAGTTAAATTTGCTCGAACACGAACTGACCCTAATTGAACTTCTCCTGACGTTTTTCCCTGACCTGAAGGAGCTTGACAGTTTCAGCCTGAGGGAAAACAGTGTGTGCTTTGTCCTTGATGCGCTGGATGAGTATCATGGCACATTGGACTTTCACTGTCCAACTGTGAGTGATGTTTCTGAGTTATCTACAGTAGAAAATCTTTTGACTAATCTCATCAGGGGGGATTTACTTCCCCTTGCTCATATATGGATAACAACCAGATTTGCAGCGGCAACACAAATCCCTGATAGTTTTTTGCTTAAAGAGACCGAGGTTCAAGGGTTCAATGATGAACAGCAGGAGGAGCACCTCAGGGCACTCGTCGGTGATGACAATTTGGCCGACAAAGTCATCAACCACGTGAAAATATCAAGGAGTCTGGACTTCCTTTGTCAGGTACCCACAATCTGCACCATCATGGCAAATGTGTTGAAGGATCATCTAAAACCAGATGATGGATTTAAAATCCACCCCCTGAGTTTAACCCAGATGTACACACATCTGGTCAAAGCATCAAACCCAGAAACGGTTGCCAAGCTGAAAATTCTGGCAAAGCTTTGGATGGGAGAATGTGAGGTATTCTATGATTATCATCTTTCAGAAATTGACCTAAGTGTTGAGGAAGCGTCAACTTTCTCCAAAGAGTGTCCTCTTGTGTTGAAAGAAGAAAATGGGCTTCTTAACAGCACCGTGTTTCGCTTTGGTCACTCCAGCATTCTGGAGTTCTTTGCAGCATCTGCTGAATTGGACAATATTGAAACAAGATTTGACCCGTCGAGACTTTGTAAGTGTCTGGTGGACACGGCACTGGAGAGTTCTATGGGAAAAACAGATGTCTTCCTTCGCTTCATCTTTGGTCTCCTTAGGGAGCGCGGCACGTTGGAGCCGCATGATCCGCTGTTCGTCTACACCAAGAAGCTGATCCTGGAATACATTCTGTCCTACAAGGCTGTGGGTCTGTTCCACTGTCTGAGGGAGTACGACAACCAGGCTTTACTGGATGAAGTTAAGTCTTTCCTGAAGTATCGCTTCTCTCCCATTTCTGATTTCTCACAAATGCATTGGACCATCATGTTGCAGCGGACCAGCAATTTCGAAGGGATAAGAGACAGTTTTGAGATGCCAGTGTCCGCGAGATGTGATGAGAAACTCATCAGGCAGCTAGCAGCTATTTTCAAATCCAAGAAAGCCATGTAAGTCTATAATCTATATACATTCCATAAATGCTCTGTTTGCTAACTGTGACTTCAGAGTTAGTTTTTCCTATCCCATCTTATTGCAGGCTGCGATTCTCCAACCTGACAGACAAGTGTTGTCCGGCCTTAGCATCCATCCTGAGCACAAAGGAGTCTTACCTGAGGGAGCTGGACCTGGGGTTCAACAGCATCAGGGATGAAGGAGTCAGGGAGCTGGTGGAGGGGCTGAGCGATGAAAACTGCAGGCTGAAGACCATCAGGCTGCAAGGCTGCGGATTGACCGGGCACTCCTGTGAAGACCTGGCCCTGGTACTGAGACGGTCCTGGAAACTGCGAGAGTTGGACCTCAGCATGAACGAGATAGGAGATGACGGAGTGAGATATCTTGCAGATGGTTTGAGATCTCCTGAATGCCAGTTGGAAACGCTCAGGTAAGTGTTGGGAAATGAACGTACCTGTCCAGACGCTTCTCTTCATATAAAATTGATAGTGAAACAATGAACATATAGTAAAACATCTCTTATAACAAGACTAACATGTTTATTTGCTCACAAAATTACAGAGAGAACCATTTGTTTTTTAAACTACGACAATTAGTTGATTAGTTTTGGTAATTAATGGTAAAAAAAATCATTTTTATGCAAAAATGCTGTTCCCAGACTATCAAATTTCAAAATCTCCTGCTTTTCTTAGTTGTAGAACATGTTTAAATCAGACATCTAATGACATCACCAACTGGGATGGACATTTCTTGCTATTTTCCATGAAATAATTTAAAATGAAACTAATTCATGGTTTCAGCCCTATTTGTTACAGGTGACAAAAAAGATTTTATCAAAATGATTAGGGCTGTCCCGAATACAATTTTTTGGGCTCCGGATATTCGGTAGTAATCAGCAGGGAATATTCGGTGCGCGCGGGGGGGGGGGGCGAAACTTCGGTTTGCGTTCACACAGGCAAAATTCAAAAGGACTATACACTTTAAACACAAGTCATGTGCACGGAAATGCTGTTCAACAATTGGTCAGACATTAACAGGGATAAAAAGGCAAATCATGGTAATTTCTAGCGTAGCCTCCACCATGGAGCATCGGCTGTTAATCTGGAGATCATATCAACAGACTTTAACAACGGCGCATATGATTATACAATCAGACAACGTGCGATAACAAACATAACCCATATGAGAGACGTTCTGCAGTAAGGAGGGTGTTTCACCGACGACAGGTGGCTCTGACTTTTATGTATAGTTGACGGAGCATTTTTACTTTACATGACACTGTTCAACACTTCATTCTGCTTCACTCTTTCGCTAAAGATTTTGAAGACAGACTCGTAAATACTACGCTTCCTATGTTTTGGCGCAGACTGCATTCACACCAGCGATGATCCGCTCCAGAGTGGTCCGAGACCTCCTCTTTTAAGCGGACCAGAGTCCGGTTGTTTAGTTCACTTCAGAGATCTTTGACTGTGTTCACACCGACCCAAACTAACCGCACCAAGCGGGTAAACGCACCAGGGTTCGATTCAACCGGACTATACAAGGCTGGTGTGAATGCGACCTAAGTCAATAACGTTAAAAAAAAAAAAGAATGACCAAATTGAAAACCGAATAGTAGGCCAACGTCCAAATATTCGGATATTCAGGTACAGACCTAAAAATAATATATATTTTTGGAACCAATCAAAGTAACCTCAATGTGTAACAATAGAAAACTGCATCTCAAAATACATGTGTTCATTATAATATGTTGGCTTTTATTTCTGCACATTTCATAATTTCATATGTAATTTGTTTCCATAGACTATCACAGTGCAACATTGAGGAGAAAGGCTGCAGCTGCCTGGCCTCGGCTCTGCAGCAGAACTCGGGCAGCCTGAAAGTGTTGGACCTGAGCATCAACATGGTTGGAGACAAAGGGACCAAGGAGCTCTACATAAAATGTGACATATCGCAGCTAACGAAGCTGGAGTGAGTATAATCTCTTTGAAACTCAAATAGCTTTCCTTCTCAACATAGATGTACCAATAATCCTGTCACACTTTGTATCTCTTGGGCAGGATGTACCACTGTGGCCTCACTGTGTTGAGCTGTCACAATATCGGGGAGGCTCTGAAGCACGAAACCAGCTCTCTGGTAGAGCTCAACCTGAGCAACAACCAGTTGAAAGACGCTGGGTTTGCACTCATCTGCGAGGGCATGTACGCATGGTGTAGACTGGAGAAACTCAAGTAAGTTTGACTTGCTCTTATATTAATCTATTGGTTACTTTGAACCCTTTTCCACTGAGCTGAGTTCTGTGCTAGTTTCCTGCTGGGAAACTAACACAACGTTAGAGCTGTGTTATTAGACGCGTTCACACCGGAGTATTTTCCCCCGTACTTTTCCCGTTTAGTTCCGTTAGTACCCCTTATGTCGCGTTCACACCAAAAAGAGTACTTAGTGCCGGGAACTTTTACCCCCATTTTTAGTGCCTGCTAGAGAGGTGGTACCAAAAAAGTACCAATTTCTATTGGCTGGGCGAATCGCAAACCACGCCCCGTAAAACTCTGAAAAGTTTTGTGAAGCCGCCATTGTATTTGTGGCATTAGCATTATTAGCATTAGCATTAGCATTAGCCCCGCGCACCAACGGAGAGAGAATAACACAAAAAAAAACATGAGAGCGGTGGATTGATGAGGAGGTGTCGGCGTTCTGGCGATTTACTCGGAAGGAAGCCAGTCCCCAACTCCGGGGACTTCCGGACGGGGACTTCGGGCGGCAGTATACGCTGTGAAGTTGTTAGCTGCCTGCCAGTAAACCCAAAGCAGAAGAAGAGGAAGTGACGTCAGCGGCTTCATTTGCGTAATCTTCCCTCAGGGAACTTATTCCGGTGTGAACGCGATTGGTACTTAGTGCCCTGGGGTACTAAGTGCCGGGGCACTAAGTATGGCAAAGTACTTGGTGTGAAAGTGGCTAATGTTAATATTAAACCTACAAAGCCAAATGTTATAGCAAAAACGTCTTCTCCAACTTTATACTTCTCCAGAGTCACGTGGCTAACAGTATGCCTCTGTGGATTTGAATATGCCAATAACTCCAGTGGTTTGTAATTTAATGTCCGACTGTCACACCGGTAACGGCACCTGGTGCATATTTCCCCATAATTGTTTCTTTCAGTTTTATTTGACAATGTTTGGCAACATAGCACATGAAATGAAGGATTATATGATATGAAGTTTCTTTGATATTACACGGATGACGTTGGCCTAGCCACCAAAGCCTTTCTGAAGCTGCATTCAGATGATACGCTATTAGCTCTTTGCTTACCGTGAGGGTAGGCGCAGACTCTTGCCTAAAATCAGCTTAGTTACATCTCTATGGTTTCCTCCCCCGCGCGTCTTAGCACAACTGTCATCTGATTGGTTGCTCACTGAAAGTTAGGCAGCAACAAAGTAGAAATCATTTGCACATCAAGCAAAGCCCTTTACCACAATTTCTAGCTCTCTATGGCAACACAATGGCAGCGTAGCTGTTTTACCGCTTCTACTGTGAATGCAGCTTGACTAATCGATAACAGGATCCAGTCGAGGAGCAGTGAATTAGTTGCTGTTCTGACACATGTTCAGGGTCTGTCTGCAGGCCCAGGCAGCGATGCAACTTGTATACAGGGTTGTATTCACGTTTGTTCTCTAACCACTTCTGGAGCTCTCTCACCCAGTCCCAAGTATTTAACTAGTTCTAAGAGAATAATCAACATTGCCATGACAAGACATACCAAGCAAAGCACTACAGCTCCTGACCCTTGCTAAGAGCAAGTACCAGATAACATGGACTACCAGATGTCCCTAGTGCCTGCAAAACACTCTGTGTCAACTATAAAACTCTGTTATGTGTCAAGATGACGCCATAGCCCTCACCATCCACACTGCCCTCTCACACCTGGACCAGAGGAACACATATGTGAGAATGCCGTTCATTGATTACAGTTCAGCTTTCAACACCATTGTGCCCTCCAAGCTGGCCATCAAGCTCATAGACCTCAGGGCTCTGTGACTGGATCCTGAACTTCCTGAAGGGGCAGACCCCAGGCAGTGCGGGTGGGAAACATCACATCCTCCACCCTGATCCTCAACACCGGAGCCCCTCAAGGCTGCACGCTCAGCCCTCTCCTCTACTCCCTGTTCACTCACGACTGCGTGGCCACACACAGCTCCAACACCATCGTGAAGTTTGCTGACGACACGACCATCATCAGCCAGATCACTGACGGCGACGAGACGGCGTACAGAGAGGAGGTCGAAAACCTGACATCTTGGGGCCAGGATAACAACCTCCATCTCAACGTCAGCAAAACCAAGGAGCTGATTGTGGATTACAGGAAGCAGCAGAGAGAGGGACACGCCCCCATCGCCATCAATGGGACTACGGTGGAGAGAGTTAGCAGCTTCAGGTTCCTCGGGGTCCACATCACTGAGGACCTGACATGGACTCTTCACACCACCACCATCACCAAAACAGCTCGACAGCAGCTCTTCTTCCTCCGCAGGCTGAGGAGGTTCAACATGGACTCCAGGATACTCTGCAACTTCTACAGGTGCACCATAGAGAGGATCCTGACCTTCTACAGGTGCACCATAGAGAGCATCCTGACCTTCTACAGGTGCACCATAGAGAGCATCCTGACCTTCTACAGGTGCACCATAGAGAGGATCCTGACCTTCTACAGGTGCACCATAGAGAGGATCCTGACCTTCTACAGGTGCACCATAGAGAGGATCCTGACCTTCTACAGGTGCACCATAGAGAGCATCCTGACCTTCTACAGGTGCACCATAGAGAGGATCCTGACCTTCTACAGGTGCACCATAGAGAGGATCCTGACCTTCTACAGGTGCACCATAGAGAGGATCCTGACCTTCTACAGGTGCACCATAGAGAGGATCCTGACCTTCTACAGGTGCACCATAGAGAGTATCCTGACTGGCTGCATCACGGCCTGGTACGGCAGCTGCAACGCCCTCAATCGTAAGGCTTTACAGAGGGTGGTGAAAACTGCACAGCACATCACCAGGAGAGAGCTGCCATCCATGTAGGACCTTTACTCCCAGCGGCTCAGGAAGAAAGCCCTCAGGATTATCAAAGACCCCCATCACCACAGACGTTACCGCAGCATCCGGACTAAAAACCACCAGATTCAGAGACAGTTTCATCCCACAGGCCATAAGACTGTTAAACACCTGAACTGTTGAAACAACATCCATAACATTCATCTGCTACTTAGTAATTATTTATCTATTTATCTAATATATCATTCCAATAGCTTGCATATAGACTCTTATTTCACTATTTCACTTTTTTTAAACAATTTTTCTTTTTGTATTTACTTTTTAATATTTACTTGCACTATATTTTTCTGTTCATCTGTGTTATTGTGTTGCTCTGTTGGAGAAGCCTGTGACCTAAGATGTTCATCGACATAACTACTTTAGCTATGTTCGTATGACAAATAAAGAACCTTGAAGAGCAGGCGAGAATACACAGACAAAACGACTCTCAAGGAGAATAGCACCCCAAGGCCACATGCCTGTGCTCTGCGGGGGGGTAGAGAGTGATAAACTGGGTCAAAGGTCTGGGCTTAGGTAAACACTATACGTTTACATTTTTGGTGCGTTTAATGGAAGAATGCGTCCCATATCATGTAAAACTCTGCATGGCGTCTTAATTATTCATCATAAATGGTTTGAATAAGTATGTATTGTTGCTACACCAAGGATAGAAAACAGATATTAACTCAAAGTGTCACACGTATGCCTGGTTGATGTTGCATTACGTTTATTTATACATGTGTGGTTTCGTTCTAGCTAATTATTTTCTGCAGAACAAACTGTTGACAGATTAGTTTTCTCTTATCTCCCCTCAGTGTTTCAAGGTGTGGAATCACTGGCAGGGCTTGCGTTCATCTTGCCACGGTCCTGTGCTCCCTGTCGCAGCTGTACAAGGGGCTGACGCAGAAGACCGACTGGCAGGCGGTGGAGCTGAGAGAGCTGGACCTCAGTATGAACTGCCTCGGGGACCAGGGGGTCAGGGAAATATCGGCCGGACTGAAGAACCCCTGCAGCCACCTGAGAGCGCTCAAGTAAATCATTTTCAAACCGTAGTCCTCCATTACACAAATGTAACTTGCTTCATCAAAATCAGAAACATTTGTATTGTATACACTATTGAAAAGAGGACATTCTTAGCTTCCCAATAATATATGGATTATTTATGATCTCCAAAATGAGCTAGATTATGAAAAAGAAGCCTTCAATGTTGTCATTTAAAAAAATATGTATAAGCAACACATTTTGTATAGGGGGGCTCAGGCTTAATCAAAGGGCACTACTTTCCCCTAGTACTTATGACACCATTGGAATACATGTAGCTATTCTTTTTTAAATCTTTGTACACAACTTATTGTTCACTGAGATCCATCCATAGTATTGATTATGCTTACACATTTATAAGCTAGTAGCAAGTAGGAAGAGGAGTTTTTTTTTTTTATATCAGAACAAGGAACAATCTCACAGAAGAAAGTTGATTTGTGTGTTATGGGGGGGGGGGGTAGGGCTGGCTGTGTGTGTGTGCTGTGTGTATTTGTCGGGAAAACACACAGCCTGTTGTAATGCCTCTGTCATTAAGTTCCTACAGGTTGTATTATCTGAATTAGGCTACACTAGTTTACTATCCTTAAAGCCAAGGTTTATATTTGAGAACAGTTCATCAGTATTTCAAGGAGACGTAGGGAGGGAGGGGAGAGGCACTGAGTAGAGCGTGACATTTAATCGCAGAAGATGTCACCCTGACATTTCAAGCTTAAAAAGAAAATATTTATTGTGTGAATTTGGTGATAAGAGTTTCTTATTCTTGTTTGCATTCATTTTGCACAGTAGGCTTTTGAACATATAACATTGCTGATCACCACTTTCATTGCATTTTGGTTTATTTCCTGTAGTGTGTTCTATAGGTTTGTGTGCATGTAAATGGTCAGCAAAGGCTAAAATTCCCCCCCCCCCCCGCCTGAAACTCCTAAATTGTACTCCTTTGTTTAATGCCTCTTTAAAATAGAATTGACCAAACATTAGTTTTTGGCATAAATCCATGTTCATCTCAAAATGATATGCTGTGACATGCGACTGCTTTTGATAGGTCGGGCGACATAATACAAGAACTTCATGCTGTAACGTGACTTGTTTTGCGTTCCAGCCTGAGTCACTGCAGCCTGACGGATGACTGCTGTGCAGAGCTGGCCTCGGGCCTGGCCTCCAAGGAGAGCATCCTCAGCGAGCTGGACCTGTCGGGGAACGACCTGCAGGACAAGGGAGTGAGGAAACTCTGCACGGGAATCAGAAGCCCTCACTGTAAACTCGAGAAGCTGTCGTAAGTTTTTATTTGATTTCCTTACTTCTTAAAGAATCCCCACAATGATAATAATAAGCATTTATTTTTAGTCATCATATTAAAGTCATGTTATGAAAGAAGGGCCCACAGTACAAAGATTTACGTTTCTATTCCTCAAAATCATGTTTTTTAGGAATAGCAACATTGTTTGGTGATTTTTAAGGAGTCTTACATAATATATTCTATTTGAAAATTGTAGGATTTTATTCAAAATATTCAAATCAGGTGGTGTGTGGACAAGGGTTGGTAGCTCTGTAGACAAGGCAATAGCCGCGTTCACACCAAGTACTTTCCACCAAGTAATTGTCCATGATACTAGTTCCCAGTGATGCGTAGGCGTGAGCACACACACACACACACACACACACACACACACACACACACACACACACACACACACACACACACACACACACACACACACACACACACACACACACACACACACACACACACTGTTCGAGGCCAGGGCGAGCTCCTGCTTTCAATAACTCTTTGCCTCTACACTGTCTGCACCTGGTGCAACATTTCGAATGCAGCTAAACTTTCTTCTATGACTATTCCCTTAGTTTCGTATCAACCCATCAGAACCTGGGATTGGTGATTGTGTCTATTTATTCCATAGTCATAGCAACATCTCATGAGCACAATAAGCATAGCATGTCATAATAAGAATCCCTCTTGTAATGTTATATACAAATAGACTCCACAACTAAAGTCTCCATGTTAAATAATGTGTATTGTCCCTTGATCAATAAATAGATACAAATACATAATACATAAATATGTATTCAGACCTCATGTGTAGAGGTCCTGTGTGTATTTGTAACGTTTGTATACAATACAAAGTAGAAATCTGAACTTCCACGTTGGGATTAATGAAGGGTCATCTACAGTGAGCTGGGTTGCGGTCGAATAGTCCATTTAGCTTAGGAACCTTCCTAACGGAGTGAAATGACCCGGAAGTCCCTCAGTGGCAGCCATGATAAGTGCCGTTCGAATTCTCTAAATTAAAAGGAAAGGAGGTTTCAAACTTCCTTTATAACCTCCTTTAGTTTAGGAACCACTGGACCTCCCTTGACGAAAGGAGAGGAGAAAATGCTGCCCCACAATGCCTTGCGGCTGCCGCATTTGCCGTCACACAACAGTCAGCCGTTCACGGAAACAACCGATTATGAACGAGAAATGATATCATGAAAGTCACGGTGCTTATTAAGCATTTCAAAACGTATGTGGTAAGTTGCCAAAGTGCTTTGTTTTGAACGTTCATCCGTATTATAATCAAAAAGAGAAATATGAACGTTAGTTTTTACTGAAATGATCAAATAAAGTCAACATTTCACAGTCTTTACTGAGCTGTGTGGGGTTTGTTCAACTTTTAAGATGTTTGAATGGTGATATACACAGTGATAGATGTTAAGGACTAATGTTTATAATAAATACATTTGTATTGATTTTAAGATCTTTTCATACAGTCATACGTATTGGGATCATTTGTATTAATGTGGACCGGAGGGAGAGGGTGACGAGCATAAGTTTCACTTTCCTTTTTTATTTCAATTCCAACTTTGGTCATGAAGAATATGTTTCTCTGTTGTCCCCGTTCATAAAGCATAAAACAACAGCATCAGAGCACGGTGCAGAGTCTCTAGATGAGTTTACAGTAGTCCCTCGTTCTTATTAAACATCCATGTTGTAGTCTGCTGTATAGAAAACTGTAGTTTCCATAGTTTCCCCACAGCAGCAGACGCACATTTATGACCTCCGCTGGCACATCATAAACACGTCGGATAGTGAAAGTGCAGTAAGATTCTCTAAAGTACCGCAGTCTCTTCTCCTAAATCCTTTTGAATTCTCCTATCCACTATCCCTTAACCCCATGACGTTTCACTCAGAGGTCAAGGAATAGACGATAGGGTTAGAACTTAGGAGCTGATTTTTGGAGTATTCGACCGCAACCCTGGTTTCTCCTGGTGTCCCCCTGCAGACTGAGGACCTGCGGCCTGACCTCCAGGAGCATCCAGTTCCTGTGTGCCGCCCTGAAGGCCAACCCCCAACACCTGGCAGAGCTGCATCTGATGGGCAACAACCTGGAGAACTCAGGAATCAAAGTGTTGGTGGAGCTGACCAAGAACCAGAAATACTGCTTGCATACGATCGAGTGAGTACTGATAACGATAAGTTGATCAATAATATTTCATAGCTGTGTTCCTGTCTCAGTCCTGCGTCCTCTTTCCATTACCAGAGCGATTCAAAACACGTTCATAATCTTACCTAAAAGTACAAAATAATTGGCATCAAAATATACTGTGCAGTGTTTCCCCTAGGTGTACTGCTTTGGGGGGGTGCTGCCTGAGCGGAGCAGAGAGAGGAGCTGTGGATTATTGTTATTGATTAATGCATCAGTGTTTCTTAGGGTCAAAAACACTAAACTCACAACTTCAAATGAAAGCGTTTAGTTTATTTTAATATAAGAGCACATGTTCAATGTGAAAAGTGACAGTAGATATAGATTAGTTGCAATTTGGTGCTATCTAAAGAAATTATTATTAGTTTTTTTTTTTTTAAACACCTTGAATTTCAGGGGGGGCGCGGGGCTCCGTTGGGGTGGCGCGGGGCTCCGTTGGCGGGGCGCAGCGCCCCTCCAAGACAATGGTAGGGGAAACACTGCTGTGTAAAATTACTCGTTATGCGTAATATCTGGTTTCAGAATCATCTGACACTACTGGATTCAGATTATTGATGCATTAATGTGTTCATCACAGCCGGTAAAACTACAGCTAATATTCATTACTTAATATACTGCTATTGCATATCTTCACCTATAATAATGTCAATGTTTATTTATTAGTGGATTTATATTTTGTGTGAGCTAACAATCTGAATTTGTAAACTAAATAAGGTCAGGTAATGGAGTGAAAAAGTACTATATTGGATTTCTCAAAATATGTATGTAATATATAATGGTGGAGTAGAATTAGTATTAAATGAAAAATACTTAGCTAAAGTACAAGTACCTGAAAATTGAAATTAAAGGTCCCCTATTATACTCTTTTTCAACAGTAAATAAAAGGTCTCATGTAGCATCCCATAATCCCTGTTCTAGAAGTGCTGATTCTGTGTCTGTAGCTTTGAATGCTAATGGCTGCCCCCCCCTGTTTTTTTACTTTCAGTGTGTGTGCAGACTGAGGGGAGCTGCTCCAACATGGACCAAACATTCATCACCTGGGGGGGGTTGGAGATGCGTGGTGCTGCTGCCATTCATTTTTGCTATTATCTTAAAGCAAAAGGCTTTCAGAAAGTGAATTTCTTACATTTTTTTGTAGTATTTTGTGTCAAGATTGTATGTTTTTGAATGCCTTTTTCTGATGTGCAATTGTATGTAGCAAGTTGTCCCTCAATAGGTGCCTACAGTATTATTGTTATGCTTTGAAGAATATTTTCACAAAATATGATTTACCAAAAATGAGAGGGAAATGTTTAAAAAATATGTTTTTTATATTTTACTTATTTATTACTATTTTGTTTGGAGAACGTCTGTTTTTTTTAAGCTGCCCTTCACATTCTAAACCATATATTTTTTTCTTAGGTTGAGATGCACAGCAATGAATGTAAGATACTATATGTGATGTATCCCATAAAATATGTGCCTACAGTATTCTTGTTATGCACTATTCAGTTAAATCTTGTGCACTGATCAAAATAAAATGTAATCTCTGACAGAACAAAGTACTTTTGTCCACTGCTGGATATTTATGTTGTAGCAGCGCTCCACCTAGTGGCCACTTGTTGTCAGTACATGACCCCAGTATTACAGCAGGATGAGGACTGTGAACGCACCAATGAATGAAAGGTGGCTGACTCTCCGATGAAACACAACTCACTTTGTCAGCTTTCTAGAAAGAATGTTGCAGCACTGGTTATTTCAGGGCTGTGTAACATGTCTTAGTGCAATATACTAAGGTAAAGTATAGAGTGCTGTAACCATGAGATCAGCTGGTGTCAGGCTTCTGAGCATGGTTATGTATGTATAAACAGATCTTGTCGAGTTCAGCTGTTTTTTCATTTTATATCTCGTAACTTATGGTCCAAGATAACTGTTTTTTTCCTTACGTCCACTAATTTCTTTTCTGTACCTCATCCATTTCCCCCAATCTATCATCAAACACAGGAACTTGATTTCTGAATCTCATGGTTATTTTTTCCATTTAATTTATTTCATTTGCCTTTTCAGGTTTATTAAGTGATCATATTTCAACCAATTACTTTTTTGTATTATTGCAACTCCCATTAAAAGAAATACAATATATTATATTTCCTTTGGATTTCTACTGGTGTTTTCCCAAGAAGAAGGATAAGTGGTTCACATTTCTCTTACAGGTATTTCCCATGAGACAAATAAAGTGATTTTTGACAAATATGTTTCCATGATTCTTTGAGGGAGGTTTGCGCCGTGCGATTTATTTATTTGTGTTCGGAACATTGCAGAAAATAGGATCTGTGGCAAACACACATTTATGATACTAACATGTTTTGTTCAGCAGGATAATCTCCACATATTAATGACACTTTTATGATTGTTAAAGCGTAATTGCAATCGCCAGAATTAAAAAAAAAGTAAACATTAGGCAAAAACAAACCTACATCACGGTCACATGTCTGCGCATCACCACCGCTGAGCTGAAGGCAGCTGCTCGGCGTGATGGCGTTTCTTTTAGCCACTTGTTAGCAACCGTTGTCTTTAAGAAACATCAAAGCTTTGGACATACAGAAGTGGTGTAATTTCTAAGACATATGTTGACGCAAAACTAAATGTGAAAATCTCATAAGCTTTTGTTAACCACAGATCTTATTTCAGGCATCTAACCAGAAATATGTTAAACGTCTCAAAGCCAAGGGAAGGTAAAGGGACTGGTAAAATGCAAAGTCATTTACATATTTTAGGACTCATTCGTGCATCACATTACTGAGCTGCTGATTCATATAAACTGTTAAGCACCAGTCATAAGTCAAAGATGTTCTTTTGTCAGGTCTTTGTTGATAATGCCAAGGATAAGGGCAGGCTGCAGCGTGTCATCCGCTCTGCAGAGAAGGTGATCGGCTGTAATCTGCCATCCCTCCACCACCTGCACGCGACAGGACCCTGAGGCGGGCAGGGAAGATAGTGGCCGACCCCTCCCACCCTGGACACAAACTGTTCACCCCCCTCCCCTCTGGCAGGAGGCTGCGCTCCATCAGGACCAAAACCTCTCCACCTGAACAGTTTCTTCCCCTCCGCTACCGGCCCCATCAACAAGGCCCGGCCCCCCCCAACAAGGCCCGGACCCCCCACTGACACTTTACCTCAGCCACATCATAGACTCTACTCTATGTGCATTACATTAATGCACACAATGCACAACAATATTTTGTATTACAGCTGATTTTTATTCCATATTTTATTCCTCTAGTCTATTCCATTCCATTGCAATGTACTGTTATATTTTACTATATATTTTTAATATTTTTAAATATTTTTCTAGTTCTCTACCTGTGTTTTTAATTCTTGTTTTTATGTACCACGACACCAAGTCAAATTCCTCGTAGGTGTAAACCTACCTGTGGGGGAAACCTCTGTGTAGCAATGCAGGAGGAGTCACCGACTCAGGAAGGAGACACGGGGAGAGCTGGAGCTTTGATGTCAAACACTGATGGTTTATTGTGGCGCTTCGGCCGGAGAATTCACAAAACAAGTCAAGAGTCAGAGGTCTGACTTCACGGTAGAGTTGCCACGTTAATTCTGAAGAGCCTCTCTCTCGATAGACATTTTAACTAGTTCAGAGAGAGTAATCAACATTCTTGGGCAGATAGACTAAACAGCTGGGGACGCTGAATTACTTGCGTCTGACGCTTATGGCCTCGAAGATTTCACACCTTGGAGTCCACAAACCCCAAGAAGGAAGTGTTCCAGTGTACCCACAACAATAAACCATTTGTGACCGAGAGTTGCCCGGTCACAAACTGGTAACAACAACATATGGCTGAAGCAGCCCCTTCCTTAAGGGAGATAACAGACGTCAGGGTTGGTCATAAATGTCAAAGGGCAAAAGGTGGATATCTATGATCCCCAACACTACCTGATAATAGACCTGTTTCTGATTCTGACATAATGCTCTGCTAGCTCTAAAAGAGAAATGCTCACTAGTTTAGGGTTAGCTGCTTACGTGTTTCTTTCTCTGTGGGCCGAAGCCCTCTTGCAGTAGTCTTTATGTTACATGTACTGTTTAGTTCAATGTTATTTGTGAGCACATAAAAAGTAAAGAGGTTTAAACCAAATGTCTATGGCCATGCTATCTTTGCTAAAGCAGAACCCGAGTCACTGAAGAGCCTCCCTGTTTCAGAAAATAAAGCAACAAAACAACCGCTTCATAGAATTTCCTTTATTGATGAATGAGAATAAAAGTTCACTTGCATTTCTTTTACATTACAGGCTTCATAAATCTAACTGAGATTATTACGAGTGCATATCATTTAAATAAATTAAAAGACACTAGACAGAAGGTTAAAAGCCTGTTATACGCCCAGTAGCAAAATGATCTCTGAATAAAACTTAAAATGTAAGAACATTAAAAAGAAAAGAAAAAGACAGTGCAACCATTTCTGTTCGGAGGAACCTAATGCACTTTAAAAAAGTTGTAAATATGGAGATGAATATGTACCAAAATAGCAAGGCACCATTAAACTGTATGTGCTGCACATTTCAAGGTCTGTACTTCTGATGCAATCAGCTCGAACCATAAATAGTGATATGTCTTAATGACATGGCATTCATTATCACTTACAGACAGGTCTGGATATGGCAACCTCTTCATGCAAAATATATTTAAATATCTCAAAGAAAATAAAACCTCTTGAAAGCAAACTGACCCCAAACTCCTTCACATACTTTCTGTTCTTGGATGTGGGTCTTTACTGAGGTACTGATAGCTCTGAGTGAGTGCTCACCACTGGCTTTGGATGCTTTAAGGGTTAACCTGCAGCGTGTGGCGCTATAATAATAAACCTGATTCTGTACCATGCAACAGGAATGCATTCTGAACCGAGTCCATTCCAAGGAAACAAAAATAATCCCACATTACTGTATGAAAAAAAACATGATTTAAAGGGGCCCTATTCTGCAAATGTTCTGGTTCATATTAATATGTGTTGCCTCTACTGGGACATGTCTCCATACTTTCATATATGGTGCAGGCTGCAGCACCTCTTCTCACCCTCTGTCTGAAACCAGAGCCCAGTCTGCTCTGATTGGTTAGCTGGCCAGCTCTGTTGTGATTGGTCAACAGCTTTCGAGATAATAGGGCCTTTTTAAATAAGATATCTTCCTTTCATGTACTGTACAAGGTGGAAAAAGCCATATGCAATACAAAGGTACATTTGTTTTAGTGTATCCGTTTCCAAACTAAAACTAAGTGCTATTACTTAAACACATTTTCTGACAAAACATCAAAACAAAAAATGACATTCAAAATATTTCAATCCATCAGCCAGAAAACCAAGTCAGCGCGCAGGATTGATCTGAATGTTGGCTGTGTGCGTTCACAGGTGCTGTGTACATGCGTGTGCATGCTTTGAACATGGTCGCGAAAATTAATTCCAAATATTTGGCAGGAGCAACACTGGCCTCTCTCTTTTCTCTTGTACTCATAACTAACAAGATGTATTTGTCAGTTACACCTGTCAGGTGTTTTGGCACATTTGAGCCTATTTACTACAAATGACATGCTGTGATTCAGAAATGTTGTGGACGTCTGATGAAGTTGTAGATAGTATGATGCAACTCAGTTGACTGAACTTGCTTCAAGTCATACTGGTACAATTACATTATTGTTATGATGCCAGTGAGTGGTGAGTGGAGGCGTTATGTTTTAGGGTTTTATTGTCCCATTTCTTCTTCATTTGGCATTAACATCCACTCGGACTCTAGGGTGATCTGATGAGATTTTGGTTACAAGATCAAAGGTCACTGTGACCTCACAAGACACGTTTTTGGCCAACAATTGAAATGTTAATTATGATAACTTTATACAAATGTGTAATAGGATAACATTGTGTTTTGATAATGTGAAGTGATGACGTTTTGGACAGACATGTCAAATGCAACTTTACTGGTTGGTGGAGGCATAGAATGCTAAGGTCATTTTATCTTATGGTTTAAAATACAAAAAGTACACTGTGATGGTCCTTGGGTGTGGGGTTTTAAGGACAGTAATTCATATGAATGAAGTATTAAACTTCAAGAGGTCATCTGTTTTTTCTAAAAGGGACATAATTAAGTATTAAGGGAATAAAATACAAGACCCGAGATTAAAACGTTTTTAAAGGTGAGGTAACATTCACTTTAGTTTGGATGCCTTCATGTGATTGTGTGGGCACATTTGAGTATTCAGTCCCTTTCTTTTCTCAATTTGTGTACAAAAGTTGTTTTCCATAACTTCATGTTGTCCATGCCTTCTTACTTAAAGTGTCAAATGCACCTTGCTAGCCTCAGTACATCTGACTGAAATCGTGCTGCGCTCATGCTCCCAAGGTCACATATCAACCAATCACCTCTCAGGAGTTTAGTTGCTCTCAGATTCCTGTTTCGGTCTTCATCTTTTTTTCAGATTCGTCAATCACACTTTAAAACTCATGCAATGATTTATGATCAGCCTGTATGAAAATACTGTGATTCTTATCAAATGGATCCACATGATAACTAACAACAAACATCCCCCCCCCCCCCCCCCCCCCCCCCCCCCCCCCCTCCCAAAAAGATAAAAACCGTCTCTGTGAGGTGACATTTGTGTGCCTTCTGAGCATGGAGGCAAGTTTATTTTAGCCGCACATGTGGCGTGTTTTGCAATTCGGTGTTGGCAGCAGAGGGAGGGGAGGTGTGAGCGCTGGCCGGGCCCCGGGGTCCGGCCCCCCCTCTGCTGTCTGTCCTCAGGAGCTCCGATGAGTAGGTTTGGGCCTCATTGGTCCCCAGTGACAGGAAGTCAAATCCCTGGACATCCAGGTCCCTGTCGCTGATGAAGAGGTCCTCTTCCCCCCATCCTCCTCCACCACTCCTGCTTATACCCCCCCTTCCCCCGGGGTCTTGGATGTTGAAGCCGATGGGAGAGTCACTGCTCGTACTGGGGCTTGGAGACGAGAGGCTGTGGCTGAGTAGGGGGTCCTGGAGGGTTCCTGGGGCCGCCTGCATCAGGTCCTGAACAGACAGGGACTTTCCCAGGCCTGGGGTCACCTGGCTGGGCCCGGAGCGGCAGCCGGGGGCCGGGGGGGCCAGGGGCTGCAGCTCCAGGCTCATGTGCCTCCTCCAGGACCCCTCCTCCTTCAGATCCAACCGCCCGTTGCTGCCCTGTAGCTTCTGCCCCAATCTGCCCAGCCGCCCCCCGGGGCTCTCCCTACCACCGCTATCCTCTATCTGCATCCCTAAACCTCCACAAAAGTCCTCAATGTCAGGGGACACTTCTGTGGAAGGGGCTCGTGGCAGGTGGCTCGGGCCCCCACTCCGGCTGGGAGGAGGCGGTGGAAGCCTAGCAAGAAGAGGAAACCCTCCGTCTCCAATTCCACTGCTGACACTATTTGGGGTGAGGATGGGTGGAGAGCTCCCCACAGCCTCGTCAGTGCCACTCTCGGGCGTAGTGACCTGGGTGGGATGGTGCCGGGGGTAATGAGGGTGGCGATGGCGGTGATAGTGGGGATGGGGCAGTGGAGACGGGCTGAAGGAGGAGGAGGCCGGGCCGGTGGAGGAGGAGGAGGCGTTGAGGCTGAGCTCGTTGGGCGGGGCCAGGATGAGGTGGAGTCCTCCCTGGGAGAGGTGGGAGGTGGTGGAGGAGCGGACGGAGGGAGGGGCTCCGCTGACCTGGGGGGAGCTGGAGAGGTCCTTGCTGAAGACAGAGGAGTGGTAGTCAGAGGTCTGTTCCAGCTCGAACAGCGGCAGGGAGGAGAGCGTGAGGGCGGAGGACGAGCCTTTACGCAGAACCTGCCGGTAAATGTCCAGCAGGGAGTCCAGCTTCGACTCAATCGATGTCACCTGGTAAGGAAGGAAAGGAAGTTAGGATTTACATACTTGTTTTAGGCGGAGGTCCATACTATTTCTACACAAATGGTAGAATGGTACTGTCTAGTGCAGACCTCGCCAAGGCCATGCTCTATCCTGCATAGTTAGCTAAAGTAAAAACGGAATTGTCGGCCCAGTCATTTGGATCCTCTCATGAACCTAAGGGGTTCCTCCCATGGACCGGTTATTCCTTCGCCAAGGCGAACTTCCACAAAGTTGTTCTGTGGTCATTTTCTAATCCGGGCCAGAAGGTTCCCTGCTGACAAACAGACCACTCCCGTTGTATAGATGCAACTGTGATGTCACCATGCATGCTGCTGTAACACATCTTACTTGTTATTAACCCTAACCCTTCAGATCTGTGCAGAACAGGGCACTCAGGAGGCGGAGAGCTTTTAAAGAATTGAACGTTGTTCTAAAAACGTTTCTGTCTACAACTCTTTCATGCCTTTTCCCCTTTTCATTTACTCTGGCACATCCTATATTATTGCATTTGTAGACACATCGTAGGCAAACCCCACTATAGCTAAATGGTCTGCATGAAAGGATTGACAGGACTGATACACAGGCCTTTGTATTCTTCTGGAGGAAGATGTACAGTAATGTATTACTGTAAATGATGACCTTAAAAGCTGTTGTCAGGCGTAGGCCTATGTATGTTCTTTTCACAGAGCCCGCCTTTCTGCTAAGCTAGGCTAATGTTTCACTGAAAGTACAAATGTCTGATCCAGGAGTTCACTTTGACTTTGCAGACTCATGCCGGATGCAGCAGAACATTAGAAGGCTGCTTGCAGTACCACATTCATCAGAGCAAGAAAAGAGAAACTAAAAGGGACCTGCTTTACCTTTTGAAACCCCATCAAATGTCATTGTCATGTATTTGTGCATGCTGCTCAGTTCACTGGTCATTACCTACAGTTATACAGTTACTTTATACACCAACTTAAAGAACACAGACCTGCCGCTCCACTTTACAGACTCGACCCAGCATGCTCATGTCCTCCAGAATATCTCCATCAGACAGCAGCTTCTCCCGAATCTTCTTATCCAGAGGGATCTGACCCTTCCCCAGGATCTGATCCACTCTGGAAGACCAAACAAATGCACACACACAAACACACATGAGCACATGCTAACTCACTAGATTTTTATAACAGAAAGAAAAGTAGAAGTAGAAATCCACCAGGCAGCCCACAGAGAAGAGGAAAGGTTAAAACGGCAACAGTATAATAGATTACCATGAGCACATTTTATTTTCCAACAAATACAAGTCCCTGTGTTAATGAAAAGGGTTACATTCAACAGAGGGCAGGGATAAGCCAAGGCAAAGTCATGCAATCATAACCCACCGACAAATTGGAAAAAGAAACAATGAAGACTTTGAGAAGATCTTCCATCGTCATATCGAGTGTGCTTTCTGGAAAGTGTGTTTTCCACATGTTATTGTCTTATGTAACACATTTATAAAAATGTTCAATTAAATATTTGTGATTAGCCAAAACGTATTTCCATGTTACTTTAACACATTTTGATCAAATGCTTAGGTATATGCACATTTGTAAATGCTTTTATCCCCCACTGTTGTGATTAGTATAGGAAATGGGGACATTGACATTATAAAATCTCCACCCCACATGTGAACTATGGTCATGTGATGACAACTGAGCGATCACCATGACAACTGAACAGAAGTCCTTGAAGGACTGTGAGATGTGTTAGAAAACGTCACTCTTCAATCCAAGCACAGACGAGGAGCGCCTTGTGCAACTGTCAAACTGTTTTAAATAGTAAGGTCTTAGTTCAAATACATGTGTTTAGGAAGAGAATAGAGGTGGATTATGCTGCACACGTGAGTTTGTAAACGCACTTATATTTACGCTTAGATATTCATTCAAGAGGATTTAGTCTAAGACATGTCGATAGTTACTCAGTCTGTTTTCTAGTTGTGATCAGAATCTGAACGCATGCAGCAGTTTGAGTCCCCAGCAGTAGGGGGCAGTATTACTGCAGCAAGGGCAGGTAGGGTTTCCTTTAGATCAGGGGTGTCAAACTCAATTTCAACTTCATGATTGCACTCAAAGGGCCAGTTTTATATATAAGACTATATAAGAATAAATATATAAATATTTCATATATATAAAATAATGTATTATATAACATTATTGCCTCTGCATTGGATTATTATGGGATAGGGTAATAACTTCATAATTAACTACGTCTGAAAGCAGAAGTCTAGGGCAGACAATTGCAAGTCTCTTCAGTGCGCATGTCACAAAATGATTTAAAAAGAAAAGCCAAATTCTGGAAAAAAAAAAAAGAAGTGACATTTTGAAAAGAATCCGAGAAAAAAGACTAATTTGAGATGCATTGTGGGACATGTAGTTTATGGGCAATGTGCTTCTGTAAAGCGGCATGTAACCGTATAATAAACATATTATATTCTTTGCAAGCTCTTGTGGGGCCACATGAAATGAAGTCGCGGGCCGGATTTGTCCCCCGGGCCTTGAGTTTGACACCCCTGGTTTAGATGTATGGGGAGCCGGTTGAGGGGGTCAATGGGCCGTCTACCAATCACAGGGACCCTGTGCAAGGTAGTCTCCTGTAGTTCTACGGTATTCAAATGTATGTAAGTCAGTTTGGATATAAGCGTCAGCTAATGAACGGTAATGAATCGATATGTTTTAAAGAAGATGTGTTTTTGTGTTACAGTATGTGTGGGTTGCAAAACGACACGAGGACCACATCATTTTTGTTGAGTTTTGTTAGTGGATGACCTCATATCCAAGGCAAAAGAAAAGAGCCATGCGTGTGAAGAAGTTTCAATTGACTTCAGATCAATTCATTCAATTAAAAAAATGAGAAGTGAACTGAAGCAATGTGAATGTGAGGATGGGGAAGAGGGGGGGGGGGGGAGCTGACCCCTGGGTGGAGTTCTTCCTGCCCTGGCTGTAATAGACGGGCAGGGAGGGGGTGGAAAAGGCCTTGGCTCGGCTGCTCAGGGGCTGGGGGCCTACTATCATGTCAAGCCTGCGAGGGAAGGGAACACACATACGCAGATTTACACACACACATACAATATCACATAAATAAACACAACACACTAAGACACACACAGTGGTGGAGAGTTTAGTCTGAACTGTACTTCACTTGAGTATTTCCGCCATATGCTACTTTATACTTTTACTCCTTTACATTTCAGAAGCCAATATTGAACTTTTTAATCCACTACATTCATCTGACAGCTTAAGTTGATACAGTAGTTACTAATACATCAAATAAATAAACCCATAAATAAACTATGATATATCATATAGGTTAAAATATGTGGCAGCAGTTTACTCAGCAATTAAAACGAGCTCCACATGTACCAGCTGTGATGAACATATTAACGCGTCTTACATAAGACACTTAAGTCTTTTTATAAATGTAACTTTAATCTTATTTAACTATTGTCTTTATTTGAGGGTCTGTACCTGGTCTGCAAGCTCTTGATGCGACACAGCATGTCCAGGTGCCCGGCAGAGTACTGCTCGATCACATCCTTCACATCGTACGGCCGCAGCGTCTCCTTAAACTTCTTCTTGGCGACATGGAACTTCATTATCCTGCAAGAACAGCAGAGGAGTTCACACATCAGCCACAAGGGGGGGCTGTGATACAGACCTGTGACCTCCTGTAGACTGTGGCTAATAAAAACACCTTCATTTGTAGGAAAGTGTGCAATGCAAAGAGTCAGAACACCTGAAACTCTACGTTGAACAGTATATCAAAACATCCAGTGAGGTTGCGGCTTTTTATTTGAGCAGTGTGCATGTACGTGTGTCAATAAAAAAGCTGTGGAGCATCAAGGCAAACATTCAAGAGGATTCAACTGACTTTAAAAATAATGCAGCTCCAATTACGCTTTTAATTCAGATAATCTCTGAGATTAGGTTTAAATATGTTTTTGCCTGGGTCTATAAGCATCGAATAATACTTGAATACTATATTATCATGAATGTGACCCACCTGACAGCTCTGATGACGGCCTTGACGGGGGGCAGCAGGTCCTCCACTGAGATCTCACAGTGACAGCCCCTCTCATCGTAGCCCTCCTCCCCCGCCATGCTGGAGTCTGCTGCTCAGAGACCACAAGGAGAGGAGGGCTGTTAATATCGCTGACTTTTTTTTAATTAATTTGACATATTATATTATGACATTTTAATGTTTTCGACATACGCTATACTATAAATGTAGTCATATTTTTCGACATACTGTAGTATACTATTACTTTATTTTTAAAGGACTTTGACATATCATACTATAACTTTTTTTAACATACTATACTATGACTTTTTAAAATGTTTTTCGACATACTATAGTATGATTTATTTTTATTTTGCATATTATACTGCAACTTTTTCATAATTTCTGACATACTATAATATGATTTTCTTGAAACTATTTTTTACTATTTATTTTTTAATTTTTTAATGAATTCAACGTACTATACTATGACCTTTTTTATGACATTTTCGACAAACAAAACTAGGAATCTTTCACTGATATTTTCGACAGACTATAAAATCACTTTCTTCCACAGTTTTTGACATAATATACTATTACTTTTTTCATAATTTGGACATAGCATACTATGAAATGTTTCAAAGTGCCTATGACTTTATTTGCCACATTACAACACAAATATTCATAATAAATTACAAGTTCAGCATATTATTTCAAAATGTCTCACCAATGTTTTTTTATGCAAGAATCATAGTGTAGTATTATTCTCAAAGTTGTTGTTGTATATATATATACATTCCACAGTGCAAATATAATGTGATTATAAGTTCATTACAGTGGTCACTGTTGGCTTTTAATAAAGTGAAAATGAATTTAACAATGTTTTGTGTTCTCTCATTGATTTAATTACATTTATTCACTTTTTCTTAATACAATATAACAGTGATCAGCACTTTTGAGGTAATATGATACTTGACCTTGTAATTATTTGTAATTATTTAGACACTATAACATGATTTTGAATGTGTTCCGATAACTGTTCCAAAGCATAATGTTTATTTTCTTCTGCTTGTAACTATGATTAGTGTTTATATGTTTACTTATGATACATTAAAGACATGGGTGTCATAGAAATGGCTTCCAAGATGACTCCTATTGTCCTTCCTAGTGAAAGGAAATGTCCCGCTCCTTCTGGTCTCAGTGACAGTGAATGAGCAGGCTTGGTTTTGGTCTCCTCTCCAGCAGTAGGCCTCAGCCAGCGGGCCGGTTCTGTGGAGCTCCACCCCCCCCCCCTTCCATCAGTCCGTCTATCCACCCACCACAAACACCAACTGGCTGGGACCCAGGAGGGCTTGCCAGGCCGGCACTGCTAGCTAAAGGTCTACCAACACCCATTAGCATCCTCTAAACGGCTGAATTAGCGGGCTAAAGCAGTTCTCGTGGGTTGGATGGTCGGCCAATAGACCTCAATAAAAGACATGGAGTGACACTTGGGGGTTCAATTGTCTGAGACAAAGGCCCCGCTCACACGGGACCGTTTGCGTTTATGCACAGTATGCGTATTCAAAAAAGTCTTCCGTTCACATGCATTTGTTTCATTTAACGTGTCTGTTCAAACGAGGCCGCTGGAAACGCTGTAGTACATATGCCGGGACTGTAAGTGGCGCTGTAACTTCCGCCAAAATACACCAAAAGCAGCGAAGAAGAGCAGCCCCAGCAGCCCCCGCCGCAATGTTGCCATGGCTACCCTTCTGTTCATGCCCCGCCGTGTATTTAGCAACATGTAGTTCATGTAATTCTCCATGTCCACTTGTTGCTGATGGTTGTGGTAGAGGAGCTGTATATTTTTGCACTAATATCTGTAGCATGGTCAGTAGCAGTAGCACTAGCAGTAGCTACTGACAGGAGGAAGTGTGTGTGGTGATTGCTGGTATTCAGCGGGATATAGTAATTTCCTCAGCATATGGATAAATGCTACGGGGAAGTTAACTGAAAGAAACCGAATCTGTGGATATTGCATCGACCGACGTCTCCGTGGAGAGGACCCGCTCAGAAAAGAGAGATATTCTCTACAAACACCGGGTGAGATCCTCCTTTGTCAATAAAATGGATCAATGCATGAAATCTGACTCTGTTTATTTTGTTTAAGGAGTATATTGGGCGTTAACTATTCTGGTTTGCCTTTTATAATATTATTTCATTCAAGAACCCCTTGTGCGTTTAATTAACACAGCTATTTTTGATAGTTGCTACAGCAATGAGCAGGAGAGGTGCTATTTTTTTTTTTTTTCGCTATTTTTTCAGGAAATATTCGTATAGAGGTGATTACATGGACTCGGTTGACCCCCCAGAGCGTTTCGTTTGCAAATCTATCCACCTTGGGACCCGTTATCGTTTGTGGGGTCAGTTTCTATCGGCCTCGTGTAAATAATAGGGCTATACGCACGCGAAACTATGCAGATACAAGCAGTTTTCTCCTCGTGTAAACGGCGCCTTAGAGGAACAGTTTGACAAACCTCCATTTTTTTTCTTCCTGGGAGTTTGATGAGAATATCGTTATCCTGTTTGTTAAATGTGTAGCCAAAAATGGTTAGCTTAGCATAAAGACTGGAAGCACCAAACACTTGGCTCTGTCCGATCTTTTAAAAAAGATCCTAAAGCCATAGACTGTATATATAAAAAGCTAACATTTTAACTGTGGGCAACCTCACAGTTGGTTATAGATGATTTAAAACCATAGTTTTAACCCGTTTTACTGATAGCTATTACTGACAATAATAATACAATGAAATTCATTTGTAGGTATTCCAATTATTGCCGCGGACGATTTAAATAGTCCATGTAGGGCGAAGGTTAGGATGGACTCACTGATCTTTTGTATCGCTGGAAAACGAAGGAGATAATAAAAAATAACATTTTCTAAGGTATCATACTTTTATATATCTAGTGAATGGACACCTTTTTAAATAACAAACCTATTATTAGGGCATATTATTATCTTTGGTCTTTTTTGCTATTCAACTGCATCAGAAAACACATTCACATCTATTGAATGGTAGTACTTTGTGTACTATATTAAGGGAAACACATCAAATTGTACCTTGAATTTTTTGTACAAATTGCAACCCAACTAAGTATCTTAATACAGTGGTTGAATGTAACTAGGTGCGTTTGCTCAATACTGTGTACTTTATTGAGTTTTTCCATTTATTGCAAATGTATACTTCAACTTCATCTTCAACATTTCACTTTTTATGATGCAGTACTGTTCTACTATTCAACTCAGTATTTTAAGAAGTATCTAAAATATTTCCACATTAACACACTGCAACATTGAAACGCTCTTGCATGTATTTGTAAGTGATTAAAACAGAATAGTATAGTGTAATATAGTATAGTGTAGTCTAGTGAAGTTTAGTATAGTTTAGTATAGTAGAATATATAGTGTTTTATAATATGCGTAGTTTAGTGTAGTATAGTATATAGTTTATTTATTATTCCATATTATAGTATAGTTAATAATATTCTGTGTAACGAGTACTTACTAATTTATCTGATTGCACTTCAGTACTTTTACTTAAGTGACATTTGAATTCAGGACTTTTACTTGTAATGGAGTATTTTATTTCAAATTGTACTTAAGTTAAGTTTCTGAGTGTCACTCCTGCCTAAGTGATCCAGGCTAAGCTCAACATTGTGTGGAGGTGGAACGTGGGCCCCCTCACCGTCAGTGGTGGAGCGGGACTGGCTCTTCAGGCGCAGCGAGGGTCTGAAGCGCGTGCGGTCGTTGAAGCTCCAGCTCTTCTGCACCTTGGCGGGGCTCGAGCCCTCCGCCCCGGCGTCGGCCCCCGGAGAGCGCCGGTCGTTCACTGAGGCTGTCTGCCTGTTCTTGATACTCTGACCTCGGGGGCTGGCCAGCCTCACCCGCTCCTTGAAGCTCAACTTCTGACTGTGGAGCGAGGTGGGGAGGAGCAGCAGAGAGGGTACATGGAGAGAAGAATAAGAAGTTGTAATGTAATGACAGATGAATATATTTATGTATTAAGGCATCTGACCCCAGATATGCAAGTATGTGTCTCTGGTTGATGAAATACTAATTTCGACCACTAGAGGCAGAAGTACAAGACTACCTCATGTTCCAAATACATGTAGGTCGAAAAACATTAATGTTTTCTTTCATGTGATTTTTCACTCCATGCATTATGGTAACAAATAGAAGTCCTTTTACGAAAACGCACTGAAAAAACTGAAACGTGTTCAGTGTGGGGTAGCCGTGCATTTCCGCCTCTTGTGGCCAAAATGAATATTGCAACAACAAACAAATTCTGCTCGAATCTTTTTTTTTTTTTTTACTTGTTTTGTAAACATAAAATCAACAGAAACTCTGAAAAATGTGCCCTTGCAAAGCAAAAAAAAGATTCTTAAAAACAAGAGAGAAAACAAATTAGATTAGATATAAATATCTATCACTGGATTTTATTTCTCACTTGCCTGGCTGGGCTTCCGTAGAACATAAATTATCCAAAAATGTAGGCATAATGCTTTTTCTTAACACAATCTTGTCATTTATGATCGAGCGCGTAGTGCAGATGGAGAAAGAAGTGCATGCATGACAACATTTTGTATCTAGCTAAAGTAGTTGGTTTATGTGACCAATTAGTAAGCATGTGGCTCAAAGAGACATGAAAGCCATGGTATCATATTCAACATTCATTGTTGTAAGACTTTCATTTGTGCATCTGATACAACAAATAACCATTTTATTCCTTAGGATTTATTGCACAAAAGATCATTGTAATGTGTAATGAACGGGTGAGGTTAAGGGAGACCAAACATGACAATTATTTGTGTTTGTGAACAGGGAGGGAACCGGACAATGAGATGAACAGACAGTATATAGAGGGTGATCCTGTGAATGTGCATTTACATATAATGACTTCATGCAAAGGCAGTGCACAAGCAGGGCTCATTTAAAAATGGCACATTGGACGGGTAAATCATATCAAAGGATAATGCGTGTGTCTATATCTTTCTTCTTCAAATCAAATTAAAAGATCGAAAACAGCAGTGTCTTTTCAAATGTTTTAAAGGGCTCTATTATGCCAATTCTTAGGTTCATATTTGTATTTTGTGCCTCTGCTGGGACATGTCTCCATGCTTTCATGTTCAAAACGGTCTTTATTTGTCTCATAGCCTGTGTTGCAGCACCTATTTTCACCCTCTGTCTGAAACCAGAGCCCAGTCTGCTCTGATTAGTTAGCTGGCCGGCTCTGTTGTGATTGGTCAACCACTTTGAGATGTACTGCCTATATGTGTAGTGTATTGGAGCAGTAGCCAATAGTAGTGCGAGTGTTAAAAAGTGATGTCACTAAGCCCCGAGGCTGTTTTTCAGGTCTCAGGCTCGAAAATGACATTCCCAGAACAAATGACCATAACTTCACTTCTAAAAGGGGTAAATGAATAATCTTTTTTCTCAAAGCAATGATAAACCTGTGAGTTGGATGTAGAAGAGTCAGAATCAATATAGATTTTTTTTATTTTAAAGTAAATTTAGATTGAACATAGTAAAAAAAGATTTTGATGATTGACATCTCTTTTTAACCGTTAGAGCCAATGGAATCGAGGGGAAGTTCCACATACACACACACGTTACCAAATAAGGAGTGAGAGTGACGCGTAGCCAAAACAGGAAGCTGTTATACACTCTGGAAGCTATCATTAGCAGCTAATATGAAAACAACGTTTTTGACATAAAATTATGGATCATCAATAATTTGTTCAAAGTGACAGACACATTGGATTGACCTATGGCAGGGGTCGGCAACCTTTTTGATATGAAGTGCCATTCTAAAAAAAAAAATGTATCAGCGTGCCGACGATCGTGAATTATCAACGGGGGGGGGGGGGGAGAGGGTGTTGAAGAGCTCGACGAAAACACTCGTGAAAAGTGATGTTTAAAACTCAGTTAATGGGGCTCATTCACTGGCGCTTCCACAAACAACAACCAACATAATTGTTACATTAAAATGAAGTAGCCTACATTATTCAAGTTTACATTAACTTTGGATAATAACACGGGGGAAATGAGCGGAAGCGCTCTCTTTTCCTCTCTCCCCCTCTCTCTCTCCTGACAGCCTGTCAGTATCTCATGCAGCTCACTGATCCAGTAATGAGTGACAGTGAAGAATAAATATATTTATAACTAGTTCCAAAGGTAGATCAAATAGCTAAGTGTGTTAGGTCTAACTCTTGTGTGTTCTGCTCCGCTCACCGGTCCGTCACAGCGGGTGGAGCTGCAGGATTTATGCTTCACACACGTTGCATACCGCTATTTTATTGTCTTTTTCGGACACCTTAAAATACTGCCAGACTGGTGAAGCGATTTTGGCGAGCTTGTTTTGCCGCACACAGAGAAAAGTGTCATGTATGTTACGTCTCGCGATCGGCCTTTTTGAGTGGGGCTGCGTTGCGCGCATGGCTTCCTTCTGCAGGTAACGGGGAGACGCGCTCTGGCGGCGGTCTCGTTCAGGATCCGAAAATAAAATAAATATTTTGTACACTTATTCCACTTATTCCTAGTGTGCCACTGGTTACGGTGCCGCGTGCCATTGGTGGCACGCGTGCCAGGGGTTGCCGACCCCTGACCTATGGATTAACCTTCAGCCGCGTTTTTCTCGTTTTAATGCCATTGAAAACAACTTTTGATCAGAATAACAGCAAAAGGTGAGCATATCTCTGTGTTTTGCTACCTAAAGCTACGTCGTGTGTTGTCTGGTTTTGCTTCCCCTGTCGCGACTTCTGATCGCTCAGTGATGACACTTATATTTCTAGAATCTGTGGAATCTCAGCTTGTTAAGCTAAGCTTGTTTGTGCAGATCCGATAAGTATATCGATCGATTTATACCTGAGTTTTTTATTTTAATCCCTCTGCTCTCAGGATAAAGCATACAATACTTCACAAGATCTGATAGTGAAAGCAACACCTACAGCAGATATCCTGAGAGCAAAATCAAAATCACAACAGGCATAAGTAGCGCACCGCTCAGGGAGAGATCATACAAAGGCAGAGAGTGAGCTGCTGTAGAGGCGACCGAGGTCTATATTTTATGACTCTGCACTCTCTGAGGCCACACAGCCTCCTACAGGTACCCATGCACCAAGAATTAGTCAGCATTCCCAAATCAGAGCGTCATGAAGCAGGGGAGCAGTACCTATGTTTCCTAGTGGAACGCCTCCTCAGTAGCTTCTGGTTATTACTAAGAATGTTACTATGGGAGATAGACATACGATGCAGAATCAGAGGTGAGAACATGTTCTGTGTTCTGTGAGGTAAAACACAATGCTTCTTTATAATATTAGTCTACTTTTTACCTTAAGGCTGTAAGGCTTGGTAGTAAAAATGAATACAGCAAATTCCTGTGCTTGGATGTGTCGACTGATGACATTTAGAAGCAGCAGAACAGAGGCAATTGAGTTTGGTAGAGACAAATGAACATCTACAGCACCGTTTGAAAAAGGCTGCAATTTGGTGACTCACACACTTCATGTCGATATCCCCCATTTAACTGTGGGGATTCAGCTGGGCCATGGCAACAAGTGCTGAGTCACCGTGTGAGGCCGCTAACCTGCAGACACTCATGGGTTCACAGAGGGTGTAAAGATGAAGAGCTTTGTTTTTTTCTGGTGTTTTATCACCAGGCTTCTGTGAATTATTACTTTGAACATGAATACATACATCTAGGTAATACATGAATGAAGGAAGCTCAAGTTGAAATGTACTGCACGGTTTGTAATCTCCTCCCCAGCTCTGCAGTGGAGATGTAAATAGATTCAGGGGTTTGTAGAAATGCACATGCTAGGGATGAATTACATTAGCAGGCAAAGCTGATTTCAATATGTGGTTATTTATGTTTATTTATATATCACTGTCTTGCAATCAGCTTTAATTTGACCCTAAATATGTTAGTATTTTGATTGTAAATAACACCCTTTAATAACCTTTAATCTTATGAATTCCAATTAATTTTCAACTAATGATTATTATTATTCATGTTATTATAATTATAATTATTAATATTATAATTATTTATTTCACCCATTTTAGGCATTTAATGCATACTATAATGAATATTTATTTATCTTGTTTTATTTGTGTGGTATGTTTTTACATAAGTCAAAAAATAAGTCAATAAATATAAAAATACAGTTGGTTATTTCTTATTTGCTTCTTTGGCCTGCTCTGCTATATGGCATAGAACATGTGATACCTGGCTTAAGGGGGAAACATCACAACTGGTTGCTATGGTGATTTATATTTACATATACAGTTGACGCTTACTGTACTGTATGTTACACCACTCAGACCGCAAGGGTATTATAGGTGTAGAAAACGTTCATTTATTAACTTCCACAAGGCACATGTGCAAGATGTCAGCATCTCAAACGATCTCCAAGCACAACACACAGACACACTTCTTCTGTTCATCTCCAGCATAAAACAATGATGAACCATCAGGTGATCTGCCCCCTTGTGGTATAAACATGCATGTGCAGGTAGACAACCTCAACCTTATGGGTGCTACATTCACTCAGCGTTTCATAACTACAACAGCTCACAATTGAGGTTTTATTGACAATTTTAATCTATTTTGGGACCGACCCGCACTCTTCGGCACTGATGGAATCCACCCCAGCAGGCTGGGTGGCCGCATGCTAGCGGCTAACATGCAGCACGCTGTTCAGATGTCTCCCTGACTTTTCCCGCTCCACCTTCACACACCCCCCTTTCCGGCGGTGTCATCTCAGGCCACTGTTTCCCCTACAAACCACACTAGCTCCCCCTTGTGGCTTGGTGGGTCCCCTACAACTATACCCCAACCTGTGCGTATTTCAGCTTCCACTTTAATGCCGATCGACATCCCGGTCAGAATCACTGACCAGCGGTCACGC